AAAGAGAAATAAATGGAGAGATTAAAACAAGAAAGTGATCCCAGTGTTTCCGAATACTACGTATATTAACATGGGTGACACACAAGGAGTTGCTCACACAATTAGAAAAAAATCTGTGAACTTCCCCAAAGGTTGTACAGGAACGAAAACTCTCAGAGTCCAGAAACTAAGCAAACCGAAAAGCCAACTGTCCCGTTTTACACCAGCTTCTCGAGGTCCCGTACCGCGGTTATGCGTATTACAGGAGTTCCCTCATCTTTCCTCGCGTAAATTTTAGTGTTTTTAAGCCAAACAAATCTGTACCCGTGCTCCTTTCCCTTCGTTCTTGCCAACCAGAACAGTTCTTTGTTTGCTTGGGTGAGGTTATCATTAAAAAACAGAGACTGGTCCCCTCCTTGTCTCGGCTTTCGCAATTTGCCGCGTGCAGCCATCCATGTTTCCTTTATGCCAACCGATGCGAATCTTATCAGAACTATTGGGTCTGTGTCACGTTTTGTCGGTAAGCGATGCATTGTTAAGATATCGGACGACTGAAATGATGGAAGGCCAATATTTTGAGCCAGATCTGTTAACTTTGCGATTAAGTCCTCTCCAGGAACGAAAGCCAGGCCATGAATTTCCATATTGCAACGACGACTGTACTGTTGCGTGTCGTTTAGCTCTTCTTTTAATCGAGAAATTTCCCGCGACTGGTCTTCCATCGAAGCCCTGACTGTGCAGATCTCTTGCTGCAGATCCTTCACCCATTCTTGGTTAGTCATAGCTAGAGCAAGTACGGAATCATAATTCGTGCTAAAAGTGTCAACAGTTGTTTGAAGTACGCTGACCGTGCTGCGAAGCTCCTCCACAACCGGCTTTAATGTCAACAGTTGGTCGACCTTAGCCGGAAGAGGCAGAAGGGTTTCGACACTCGTTTTTAAAGAAAGGAGTTGATTAAGCGTGGTACTGATTGAAGTCAACTGATCAGGGACAGCAGTGGCTTGCTCCTGGTGAACCTTGCCCGCCTGATCGGCGGCGCGTACTGGGACGCCACAGCCAGCTGCGCAACCTGAGCGAAGCTCCCCGGTGCGGCAAGTGGGGCACCTCCAGCTTTCTTTTCTAGATGCACCCATTGCCAAAAGCGTACTCTCTGAAACGCCGGAGCGGGATTTTCCAAGGTGGTACCCATTCTCACAGTCAGTGCACGTCAAAAACCTTTCAACCATGGGAAGTGGATGAGCACATTTAAGACAATCCATGAGTGACATAAACAACTTATCTAACAAATAGGTTTGTAAAAAGTTATAGTCAAGTAGCGGTAAAGAGACTAAACAAAACAAAACACTGTGCAGTCGGCGGCAGAACAAGTGGCAGAGTTTAAAACAGAGTGACCTTTGGGCTCACCTGTACAGAAATGTCGAGGTTAGCTCTTTGCAACGAAGTGCCGCCGACTGCAGTGGTCGCTGTTCCAGGAGCCGCTTTTGTAGAAGATGTTGCCCCGAGACCGACGTAGCGCGCCAGGCGGTTGATCTTCGCTCTTGACAAGCACAGCGATGACACGTGTAGTCTCAATACGTGATGATAGCAGGTTTCAGCGATCGGGCCATTCTTGTCAGTTGTTCCGAGACGATTCCGTGGTTGTCGACTGTACAGAAATGTCGAGGTTAGCTCTTTGCAACGAATCGCCGCCGACTATATGGACAGCCCTATACAGTATGCCCCCTGGCCGTATAATTAACTTGCACACAGCGCGTTAATCAGGGAACACATGAGCGAAAAAAAAAAAAAACGGGCACCGCGCGCTGATTCCCAGAGCAACAGCCCAAGACGCTGTGACGTGAACCTATACCAAGCCGCCACGTCACAGCGTGCGCGCAAGTTGCCATGGAAACTGCCGCGCGGCGCCCGTTTTCGTCGCTATTGTACTCCCTGTTTTAGTGTAGCTTCCACGACTTTTTATTTTAAATATAATCCCTGTATTTTAAATGTACTCCCTGTATTTTAAATTTCTAGTTATTACATAACGAAATCATTGTCATATTCACACCTGCAACCAGACTTATGAGGATGGTAGATCTGATAATATGCAATAGTCATGACACTGCAACACTGAGCACGCTATACATGAGAACGCAACGTAATTTTAACATAGTTACACAAACACGAAACAGAAGACTACGAATAATCATGTTGGTTATGACAATATACGAGAAATTATATGGTAAGAAAACCCGCGTTTTGTTGGAGTTTTTTCCTCATTCTTTCGGGATATCTTTGTTTACTGATTCGATGCGCGTCACGGAGCCGTTTGTTTTTCGGCGCTCACCTCTTGACGTTGGTAGGATGGGGCCAGGCGTGACTGGAAAGACCGCGTCGATCCGTGGGTCGGCCGGAACCCCTCCATGGGCCGGAAGTGGCCCGCGGGCCGGGCTTTCCAGGCCCCTGATTTAGAGAAACGGTTTCCGTACACCAACTATAGGAAATATCGCGATAACAAGGCCTCAAACGGAGCACTGTTCCGGAAACGATGCTTTATTTGAGCTGTCTCTATATAGGCCTTTGTGCCCGGTTATAGACATATAAGGGATACGTGTAGAGCTGCAGACTAATGCAACGCCACCTAGGCAGAAGGCCTCCGCATGGTCTCCTCTCCCTCAATGAAACGTCATCCCTGTCAATCGCGCTAACTCGGCGATTGGGCTCGCGCCCGACCTTCGACGCGCTGGTGGGACACGAGCCCCAGCAGAACAGTGACACAGCACTCGTGACCAATATCACGCCTCGATCGATCTGACTGTCTTACGCGTACCAGCCCGGGGGGGGGGGGGGAGGGGGGGGCAAGGGGGGCACTTCCCCCCCAGCTCTCAAGGTGGGGGGGAAGGCATGTGTTTCCCCCCCCCCCCTCCTCCCCTCAAACAGCCGCCACTGGGCAGGGCAAACACTGCCCAGCGGCGCCCAAGGGATACCAAGGGCACCTCCAGCCCAGGGGAGGGGGGAGGGGTCTGGTTTGCCCTCCAGCTCAAGAACAATTTGGTACGCCACTGCTGGCTGTGATGACGCGTGCGGAGGCCTTCTGTCTAGGTGGTGTTGGCTAGAGTCACCGACAACTTAAAAGACTCAGAGAATGACCAATCATGATCACGCTTCTTGCCTCGTGATCGGCTCTTGAGCGATCTTATTGGCTCATGCCGCAATATGATTGGCTGTTACGGAGTGAGATTAAGATGACCCGTCATGCCATCGACCAAACCCCGAGACGAGTATCAGTAGGAAAAGGACACCAGCTACGAATATGACTACGAGTTCATTTTACTAATATGTTTTAAACCTCCACACCTGCGTGTATGTACTCCTTTCTCTTAATTAAAAAGAAAAGTACTTGGAAAACAAGGGGCGCTTCTAGAAATTACAAGCAGTGCGAGAGATTAACCGAACCAAGACTCCACAGCTCGTTTGGAGGACGACGCGAACGGTTAAATGTCCTATCTTATTGATTCTACAATTCCCTTTCAAGTTCGGATTAAACTTGAAGTCCTAGCAACGCTCGCGGGTTATGTTAGTCCTCCTCTCATGAATGGTGGCGTTTCCACAGCGTCGACTACGAGGGTTTTCCGTGCTTTATTGTTGCGTTGAACTTACGTAAACACGCCTCTCCAGAGCATCTCACCCAGGCGAAAAATGCTGAGTCATTGGGCGACTTATATTTCAGACGTTTCACACCCCAGTATCAAAAAATGGCAACGCTAAGAAAGCGGCTATTGTAAGAGAATATTCTAAGCATTATATTTAAAAAAAATTGCGGTGGCTTAGCTGGGCTATGCCAGGATAGCGTGAGCTTATGCGCATAAAATGAGATGCGCTATTAAGCGGCTTCAGTACAGCGTCAGACTTGGCTACTGCGCAACGGAGGCGCACATCTGGGAACGCGGCGGCGCCAGCGCTTCTGCCGCGGCTATGACGTCACTCCTCTTGAATGCGCATACCGGCGAGGCGAGCGCGGTGGCGGCGGAGCCCGCGGCGGCGGCAGCGGCTCCGGCGCGCCAGCTGCACTCTAAAAAATGTCTGTGCGTCTACTTTCACGCACAACACTCGGAGAGCCATCACCGCCACTTACGGAGGCATGCTCAGCGAATGACGATGCGGAGACATATGTTTAGACCAAAAAACGCAGTCTGAGTTGTGACATTAAGAAATGCAAAACGTCACGCTTGCATTGCTTAATGTCACAACTCAGACTGCGTGTTTTGGTCTAAACATATGTTTCGGCATTGTCATTCGCTGAGCTTCCTCCGTAAGTTGCCGTGATTGGCTGTCCGAGTGTTGTGCGTGGAAGTAGACGTACAGACTTTTTTTAGAGTGTGTGCGCCGTGTGACGTCACTGCTCCTCGCGCTTGCGCAGACCGGCGAGGCGCGCCCGTAGGCGGCGGAGCCCGCGGCGGTGGCGGCTCCGGCGCGCCAGGTTTGTGCCATGTGACGTCATTGCTCCTCGCGCTTGCGCAGCACGGAGCACGGCTCATTATGCGAGCCACGCGAAACTGCTCAACCTCGGCCAGTGTAGCTCAGGCTACTATGTAAACTCGCAGTGATGTTTAAAGGTAGTGTCGGTTTCTTTTTTTCGACACACTCGTCGCCTCGGAGTTTAGTTTTTGTATCCCTTTACATCCTTCGTAAATCACTAATATGTCAACGCCTGAACGTAACAAAACGGCAGAACGGCGGAGAACCGAACTTTGGACAACTTGCAAGGGCCTGAAAACGGCTGCCAAAATTCCCACCGCGCTATGCATATCTTACGTTCACACACTTGCAACCTAGTATTACCCGTTGAGACAAGACCGGTTTTTAGGCCTCTTGCGACGGTTTAGGACATGCTCCGCAGCAGCGAATCTTGTCCTATGCCGTCGCAAAAGGCTTAAACACCGGTCTCGTCTCCATCGGTCCTATTCGATTGCAAGTGTGTAAACGGGCCTTTAATATAGGTCTAAATGTAGTGTGATATCGACTCAAACTTGGTGTTTCAGTATCTCCGAGCGCGGTACTGCGACAAGATTTCCCTGACAGCCTGCATACTGTATTTCATTCTAACGGTAAGTTTCTTAAAAAGTTTTATTCGGATATTGAACTAAATTCACAATTTGATGCACGTCATTCTTACACTAAAAAGTATACATCAAGAAATAAATTATTCTATTAATAAACCTATAGGCAGCGTAGTATGCCTAGAAACAAGTGTAGAGTCTAGCTCAGCTAATCACCTAAATTACTCTAAATGCTTTTAGACTGTATGTCAATGCTGCCACACAAATATTAGGTTGTTGAGATAACAATACACAGCACACTTCAAAACACCTACATAGATGTAACTGGCCCTTTCTTCTATGTCTATAATTCGCACCTTCTCATCGGTGTTGTTGCAGCCTTATGCATTTGGCGAGCGAATTAGCAATTTCTTTATTACAGCTTTGATATAGGTGTGTTTAAATACTTTACACCTTTATAATTGGTGTGCCCAAAACGCCACAGGGAATAAAGCAAGGTTGTCTCTTTGTAGGGCCATACATTTCTCTGTTGTCTCAAGTTTTTTTAGAAAGGAAATATATACAGCGTTGAACAGCATTAGAACCACATATCACAGTTAGAATGTTTTAGAGCGCAGCTCTTAGGCGCCTGTTCGCGGCTTGAGCGGCGTCGCCGTTGGCGTAACCGCGCCCCCCCCCCCCCCCTCCCTTCCCCCGAGGACCTCGGGAGGACCTCGGGTTCCTTCAGGAGGAGTTCGGGAGGACCTCGGGTACCTTCGGTGACCTCAGGGAGGGGGGGGGTCACGTGACCCCTCCCCCCCAATGTAACGTGACCCCCCCCCCTTCCCGAGGTCACGTGATCCCCCCGAGGTCACATGACCCCCCCCCCCCTCTCAGTACCCTTCCCTACTCCTCCTCAAGAGCTGCGCTCTAATTCGGCGTTAGAGGAAGTTGTAAACGGCTTTCACTTTTTTGCTTTTTTTAGAGAGCGCTTTAACGATAGAAGTAATAACATTCAAAGACTCATGTGCAGCTCAATTGCTCTTCAAGGCTTTTTATGTTTGCTTTTTAAAAAAATGTTTGATACACCGCATAAAGGTATGACCCTGTAGAGAAAAGTAACAACATTCAAACTGCCATGAATATACTTTCCCTTTCCTTCGAAACAAAAACAAGAAGAAAGTGTTTCATCGTGTTTTTTGTTTTCTGTACACCCTTGACTTGTCAGTCAAGGGTGTCCAGATCTTTGGGCAAAACCGAGGTTATTTGATTCCGTAAATATACCACAATACATGTGTTGCACTGCACAGAAAGGATCTGCAAGCTGAGCGACTCACATTCAACAAGCACACAGTGATATTTCATATACGAATATCACAGCCAAGCTTTGGTTTCCCATTCAAGTTTTATCATCTTTGCATCTGTGTGTGTCGAATATGGACAACCTCATAAACACAGGAAACTTAGTTTTAGTAAAGTTTATTTCGTGATCAACTATTAATGGTCTTAAAATAGACACTGTCAAATCTAAAGCAATTATTTCATACCTGTAAATAAGCACGTTACTAGTAATTGTTGTCTAAAGATTGGTACCGACCGAATTGAAATAGTCAAATAGCACAAAACGCTAGGTGTCATTTGTTCAGAACATATGCAATGGGATAATTACATATAGTACCTAGTTAAAAAAAAACTGTCAAAGGTTGCTAGAATAGTATGTCACTGTCGCTCTTTGTTGCCTGTAATTATTGAAATGCAAATTTATCACACTCACTTTAGCTCACAAATTAACTACTGTCATTTGGTTTGCGGTACAACGACTAAATGTAATGTTAACAAAGTTACGATCCTTCAAAAGAAAATGCTGCGTTTTATTGCTAACGTGCCTTACAACACTCATACTGAACCATTATTTTTTCATTAATTCAACGTTATGAAAATTGCTAGCGTATGCGAGTACCGTTTGCTATGTTCTTATTTATTTTTAACAGATGAGATAATTTCTTTTTTGTCTAATTGATCCCATCTTACAAAACGTCAATCTTTTATTCAAATCCGACGCAGAGAGTTATGGAATGTGCCTCATCTTCGTACCAGTTACACATTGCAGTTAATTGGGCATAACCTGCCTAGATTACTTAACATGTTTATTATAAACACCATTGATATTCACTTTTTAAGAAAAAAAAAGATGTACACACGTGTTTTCTTCAGACAAATTATATTTTATGGTGTTTTTTTATTACCGTGCCATTTATATGCACGGGCACCAGACCCAGTCAAGCTCCCTTGCGGATTGACAAAATATTTAAGGAGTTACCTTGACTCACAAACGACGCATTTCCATGTGCCCGTTCGACCACCATAGTTGGATGAGTGGATGCTAACGGCTATAACCTTGATGGCGTGCGGTAGCTTGCGCTATCCTACCCTAGAAGCTAAAAACTAAAAGTATCATACCACCATCGCCCTTCTAAGCCAATTTGATCCCCCCAGCAATTCTGTAACTGTCACGAGGTCGTGTGGTATATCACCAGTGCGGAGTGTTAAATCTTACCTAAATAAATCCGAATTACTCTTGCGGGTCTCGTCACGTGAAAACAGAAATAGAGCAGAGCTGGCCAGGGGTAGATTTTTGAGCGCCAAGGTACAAAACACTTACTCTGGTGTAAGATCGAGTAAATTTTAAAACACGGCCCAGGTCATGTCGTCTTGTGTATATGAAAGCAATTGGGTACGTCTCCGAAGTTTAGAGTACCAAGCCGAAACTATGAGAAACGGTCGCCACTACTAATTTTGAGCATAATCCTCGTATTTTCTGGCTGCATTAGATAATCCCCCACTTTCTCTCTCCCACCGTTCCCGTAAACATGCCTGATGCTCAGAGCCCAGTATGACACCGGTCTATTAATTCAATAGAGTCTATCAGGCCAAACCTTAAAAAAATGGTGTTTTCAGACGGACTCACCTTCCTGAACTCCTTTCCGAAACCGCCAAAAGGTGTAACGCCTCCCTTCTCACACGCTCAGTAGGTGTATCGAAAACATTACACCTATTGGAAAAAAGTGTTTCATGCTTTAAACACTCACTCACTCACTCACTCACTCGCTCACTCGCTCACTCGCTCACTCGCTCACTCACTCACTCGCTCACTCGCTCACTCGCTCACTCGCTCACTCGCTCACTCACTCACTCACTCACCCACTCACTCACTCACTCACTCACTCACTCACTCACTCACTCACTCCACTCCACTCCACTCCACTCCACTCCACTTTCTTCACTCAGCTACTTACGTATATATATATATATAGAGAGAGAGAGAGAGAGACAGAGAGAGAGAGGGAGCGAGAAAGAGATATCTGTTTTGAATAAAAATAACACGCTATATATATATATATATATATATATATATATATATATATATATATATATACATATATATATAATATGTGTGTGTGTGTGTGTATGTGCGCGCGTGTGTGTGTGCGCGTGCGTGGGTGCGCGTGTGTGTGTTTGTTTGTGTGTGTGTGTGTGTGTAAAGTTAGCTACGCCGTGGGCACAATGCCGAGGAGACGGGTACACTTGTTCAATCACTGGACGCTCTACTATGTATGTTTAAGACAGCTTGAACAAAATTCGTCAAATAAAAAACACCTCCGAATTTCAGCAAAGCACTGGAGCGATATCTATCTGCGCTGCAGCGATGGCAATGGCAACAAGTGAGTCATATTTTGCTCCCGTCAGTGAAGTGTAGCTACTTCGTAATTGTCACCTTTCTTCTGATCTGTTTATGTACATAGTCATCCACGTCCCGTTCTTGTGGAGCTGCCTCGCGATGGGTCTAACAGGAACGGTCTACACAACTCTTGTAAGTATGCCCATATTATTGTTCAATGAACCAATGTCTTTGTTTTGATTTTTACTATAGATCAGCCGCAATCGGGACAATCGGTTCCTCCTCTGTATTTTTCGTAGAGTGGGTGTTTTATAATATTTAGACATTTCTCTAATCCCAGCACGGTGTAAGAATCTCTCATCCCCAAATGGGCGCCATTGCCGCTTTGGCAAATGAGCGAAGCACGGTACGTCTCAGACATCTTGAAGGAGACGATTGATTGAAGACCTTGAATAAAACCAAATCCACAATAATCCACAATCCACAGGAACAATCCTGTGGATTGTGGAAACAATCCACAATCCACAGGAACAAACCAAATCCACAATATATTTCGCTCTCGTCAGCAGGTCCATCTAATGAGTTATGCCAAAATTCCCCTCGCGGCGGTTTCTCAGATACAATCGCTGCACAGGCGCGAGGGAGTTAGGACATGCGATTGTTTCAGATGGTTGCTCAGGTGCTCGACTATTTATTTATTTATTTCCTAAGGACCCCTTGCGGGGTATTACATAAGGGGTGGGCATGGTGGTCGTGTAATATATAATAAACAAATGCAAGTTGATAATACAAAATAAACAGTGTAACAAATAGACACTCAAATAAGGACTTGCAAATTATACAATACAAATAAAAATTAAACAGTAAACGCACACAAAAAATAATGAAAGGTTAAAAAAAATGCTAGATAAATGCTAGAAAAATTCTAAACATGATACTGGTGTTTGGTTAGACTGGTATACTGATGATAGCAATACTGGCTGTATGGACAACGTAAACATATGCACAAGTTAGAAAAATCAGAGGAGAGCTGTTTTAAATTTCAATGGGTCAGCAAGTGAAGTGATTTCACGGGGAAGATCGTTCCAGTCGTTAGCAGTTTTGACAAAAAATGAATTCATGAAAGTAGTTGTTTTAAATTTTGCAGGTATGACTTGGTGAGGATGGTAAATGCGGAGATGGCGTTCAGCAGCTACCTGAATGTGTGACTCACACTTAGCAGCGTCATTAAATAGTTTATGAAAGAGCAGAAGACGGGTTATTTTGCGGCGTATGCTGAGATCTTGTAAGTTATCTTGTTTCTTCAACGCTGTGACACTAGTCTTATACGAATAATTTGAATGAATGAACCTGACTGCGCGATTTTGAATTGCTTCGATGTCGGAAGAGAGATATGACTGATGAGGGTCCCACACAGATGAAGCAAATTCTAGTTTAGGGCGAACAAGTGTTTTAAAGGCGAGAAGTTTGAGGTGATGTGGGGCTGACTTTACGTTACGCTTGAGGAAATCTAAAGAGCGGTTAGTAGATTTAATTAGATGCTCAATGTGAGTTTCCCATGAGAGGTTTGGGGTGGGATATACACCAAGGTACTTATACGATGTGCAGGATGTTAGGGCGAAACTATTTAAGCGATACACAAATGACATTGGGTTAGTGCGGCGGTGGAAGGAAAGGAGCATGCATTTATCAGCGTTGAGTGACATTTGCCAGTCTGTGCACCACTTTTCGATGGTTATTAGGTCGTTCTGCAAGATAATATTATCGGCGGGAGAAATAATGCTACGATATATTATGCAATCATCGGCAAAAAGACGAATGTTAGAAGCTACTGATATTGGAAGGTCATTAATATATATTAAAAACAAAAGAGGACCTAAAACAGAGCCCTGAGGTACTCCAAACGTGACGGGAGAAGGATAAGAAGAGTGGTTGTTAGCGAGTACAAACTGGGTTCTACTGGTAAGGAAACAGTTAATCCAAGAAATAACGTTAGCATCTAAGTTAAGCTGGGAAAGTTTAAGCATCAGTCGGTTATGGGGAACCCTATTGAAGGCCTTGGAAAAATCCAGAAAAACTGTGTCAGTTTGTATGTTATTGTCAAGATTACAATGTAGATTATGAATGAAAGCGGAAAGTTGCGACTCGCATGAAAACCCTTTGCGAAAACCATGTTGATAAGGATAAAAGAACTTATTCATTTCAAGAAAAGATACCAGCTTTGAGAAGATTACATGTTCCATGATTTTACAGGGTATGCATGTTAACGAGATGGGCCTACAATTCAAAGGAGAGAACTTGTTGCCTTTTTTTGAGATAGGAACGATCTTCCCCACTTTCCAATCGTCAGGAATACAGCCAGTAGTTAGTGATTGGGTGAAAATGAGGGTTAATATTTTACTAGTAAGAGTATTTGTGTTTTTAAGAACTTTTGAATTAAGCTCATCGACACCAGCTGAAGATGATAATTTCAGATTCTTGATTATATGGTAGATGCCTTCTTCATCGAACTCGATGGCTGACAGAAGTAGAAAGTTATAGGCAGAAGTTACAGGATGATTACCAACAATTTCGTTTGTAAAAACCAAATTGAACACTTCATTAAGAATATTAGCACAGTTTTCAACATCGATGCTTATTCCCTCCTTGTCAATTAAAGAAATTAATGTTGTTGGAGATGGATTGATAACTTTCCAGAACTGTTTAGGGGTCTTTATTAGCATATTAGGCAGACGTTGGTAATAAAATGATCGTTTGGTGGATTCTAAAGCAGACCTGTATGCTTCATCGGCAGAGTTTTATTTAGTCCATGCAGCGGGGGTGTTATATTTACTTGCCGACCTAAATAACCTTTTCTTTTTATTATTAAGACGCTTTAGTGACGAGTTAAACCATGGTGCCTGCGGATTTGACTTAATTAGACGCGTTGGTATATATAAATTAATGAGATCCCGCATAGCATCCTTAAATAAAAGCCAATTATCATTAACATCCCGCGTTGGAAAACCGACCTCGTAGGCATCGTAAAAATTTTTTAGTTCAGTGTTAATAGCTTCATAATTTCCCTTGTCATAAAGTGTTATTAGTTTTTGCTGAGTAGGACTTTTTTTAAATGAGAGCTTGATGTTAGCCAGTATTACTTGATGATCGCTAATACCGGGGAGGTGGAATATACTATCCAACGTTTCAGGAGCAGTTGTAAGTATTAAGTCTAGTATATTGGACGATTGGGAGGACACACGCGGTGCATCTTTTACTACTTGAGAAAGGGTTAAGTTAAGACATATATCATAAAAATCACGCTCGACTGCATTAGTGTGTAATCCAGTAGACCAATTAATACCAGGAAAGTTGAAATCGCCAAATAAAAACATTTTGGCGTTACGATATTTACGCTTCAACAAAACAATGTGGTCGTTAAGGATGGGTACGAATGATGGGTCATTTCCCGGTGGGCGATAACATACTCCAATCAAAACAGAGGACGAGAAAACGCGGCAACAAATCCACAATATTTCAAGCGAAGAGGCCACGTTAATCAGAGAACATTTTAAATTATCTTTGGCAGTGATTAGGACACCGCCACCTCGCCTATCACTTCTGTCGGCGCGAAATAAAGTAAAGTTATTCATAAAAGGAAATACTTCGCTCTCATCGACAGCTGATGATAATCATGTCTCGGTTAAGATGACGAAGTCACAGTTAGTTGTGGATATGAGTGCAGAAATCTCGTCACGTTTCGGAATGACACTTCGAATATTAGTGAACAAAAACGATGTTTTCTCGCTTTTCGGCGATACACTTTTGGCCATCAAGTCAATGGGTGGTCGGGGGACTAGTTATGGGAAACATTCTTTTACCTCGGCAACAGAACTATCATAAAAATACCGCTTATCTTGAATAAAAAGTTCATTAAAACGCAAACTAAACGCGCATGATTTTGAGCGTGCAAAAGCAAGAAGGTGATTACGGGCTGTGCGAACGGCTGGCGAAAAATCCTCCCCTACACTTATCTGCGTTCCCTTGAAAAGCCGCGCTTTAGAGAATACCAATTCTTTGGATTTACTTGACGCAAACTTCATAATTATCGGTCGGTTTTTTTCGGGAGAAAAACGGCCAATCCGGTGGGCGCGCTCGATACTCGGTGGCTCCAGGTTAATTGCAAGATGAATTGAACATGTATCAATTATTAGCTTCTCAGAATCGTGCCAAGATTCACCAGCGACGTCCCGCAAGCCGTAAAAAATTAAATTATTACGGCGATACCTGTTTTTCGCGTCGTCAATACGCGCTTCCAGGCAGGCAATTGTGTTAGTCATTGAAAACATGTTAGACTGTATGGTCTGGACCTCAGTTGAAATTGAAGAGAAGGAAGAACATTCCTTTTCTAGACCACTTATTCGTTCGGAAAGGTTAGAAAGAGTTTGCTCAGTAGACAATACTTTCTTTTTTATGGCCTGCATTTCACGTAAAAGTGAGTCCTGCCCTTCGCTTAGTTTTGTTAAAAGTGCGATGACGTCCGGTGAGGCCTGTGATTGCGTACTACGAACCTCGTTGACAACATTCATGGACCGACTGTGATTCGGTGTATATAAACTAAGCTCTTTGCAGTGAGGCAATGACGATGTGCCAATACTTCTGTGCTCTACGTAATCCCTCGCAAAAAGAAAATAATAATGTGCTATATTTGCGTAGAGTTAAAGCGGCTCAGATCACATATGCCTTATTCATTAAAATACATTATTCAATATTAGCACCATCTCTTGGCGGCCGCGAAAATTCGCAAGGCTCCTCGACATCTTTAGGGCTTTCAGCCGTCCCCGTTCTGCCTGAATTGCGTCCTCCGTGCTAGATCGTATGTTTATTGTTTTAATGCGAAAGCATTAACTGTCTCATGGAGCGAACCTGCGTCATCAGCTTCGAAACCACGTCAAACGTTGGCCAAACGTCACCTACAATCTCCTTTCACAATGGAGCGAAGTGAAACCGAATTCCGATGGGTTATGCTCCCATTGGCTGGCGCGCGTCATCAAGGAACGAGGCTCCCAATGGCTTTTGTGCGGCGTAGTTCTAAAAAAAGTCACCAGGGTAGCCCTCTCCATGGCGGCGCTGTGCTTGCAGCGGCCCGGCCTCCTGTAAGAGCGGTGCGGCGGTGGGGGCCTGGTGGCAGAGCCAGGCTAACGCAGCTAGTGGCGTTCAAGGAAACCTCGGTAGAGGCCGCCAAGAGTCAGGGTGACGTCACGATGACGTAAAATACGTTACTAACTCACCCCGACCGTCAGGACGGGTACAGCCGCTAACATCCATGTTACATTGGGGCGCTCTTTTGACGCCCAACCGTAAGGTTCTTGTTTCCACCGCCTCAAAACATGGCGTTACGATCGACACTGTCGTCGGGCCGCCGGGCGCCGCCGTCTGTAGCAACCGTGGCCGGTTGCGACCATTGCGCAACCGGCGCAATGGTCGCAGACATCCAATGAGCGTGATCGTCTGCTCTGTGTGTTCTGCGGAAAATGTGGTGTTCGCTCGGTACACGTTGATTTGACTTCGGAAGTTTTGGTGCTCTCGGAAAAGGATGCCTTGGCGCTACCGCGCAGCGAGGGAGTGCGGAAAGTCCAGCAAGTCGAAAGTCCTGTCGTTCTTTTCATTCCCAAAGGAGTTCCAAAGCGAGAGGTAAAGTTTTGGCCTTTCGTCGGTTTCGTTCAAGCCCGTTTCTGTGGTGCGATTCTGGTTTTCGATGTTCGGTCTTGTGTGACAGAAACCCTGTAAACATAGCATTTCAGCTGCCGCTCACGTTTGTTGGATTTTTTTTTCCTTGTGTACGAGGTGACATTGCACCCGAAATTCGAGAGCAGATCGAACCGTACCACGTGCTAAGCGCACAGGACGACAGAGGCTTTTGTTGTGCCTCTCTTTGTGCCCACAGACCCTTGCATTGCTTTTGTGGGCAAACTTGAAGAGTGCTTTCTGGCGTGAATTCTACATCTGGTATACAAGAATAATGTGATGAAGAATCCTTGTGTTTTCATGGAAGAACAGTCGGAGAACCTTCTCTGTCCTGCTAGAAGTTCCTCCAGATGATCTGCTATGAACCCTGTGGCATTTACGCCTTTAAAATGAAGAGATCTGCAAAAATATAATTTTAAAATGTCTGCAGGTGATAGGAAAGCACAGAGACCGTGAAGCGGGTCATCTGACAGCTGAGTACAAGTTTTTTTGTTTCTTTTGTTTTTGCCTGCAGAAAACATTCATGTTATGCTGATCAAAACTGTGGTAATGCGTTAACTTTTATAGGTGTATATTTCTTTAATTGTGCTCTTACGTGTTTCCCGTGCTATCTGTTTGATTGTACCGTCAATTTTATTATTTGTATATATATTCTATTTTATGTACGAGATCTGTGTAAATAATAAAGTATGTATGAAAAGTAATCGTGTGCTCTTTGCCTCCTACCCACATGAGGAACAGCTTCTCTGAAGTTGCTTTACGGTAATTTATAAAAAAAAAAAAAAGATATAAAATAAAAGCCACAGGAGACGAGAAAGAAATCGAAGATAAATAAAATCATCGGTCTTGTGCGAATAGTGGATTTTGAGTTCTAAGCGAATTCGAAGCGAATAGTGGTTTAGGCCGAATATTTTCAATTCAAATATCGAATAGTTTGTCCACGCCTTTCCCTACCATAGCATAATGCTTAGACAAAAACCCAGCTAAACTTATGAAGGTTGTTCCACTTGTTTATTTATAGGCTAAGTTAAATTACCTATATTTATGAACTATGACCTAAGAAGGTCTGATGTCTGGGGATGGCCAGTAAACGACGGATTTGACATAAAATGAATCCTATAGAGATGGCTAACTATACCCAATTGAGTGAATTTACAGATCTTACTATATAAAATATTCTTTCTTTAATATTGAATAAAAAAAAAGAAAACTCTTGTACAACAGTCAGTTTAATTTTGAAACTTTTACTACAATGTAGATATACACATTCACAAAGTTTCCATTTATTTTCAAACACAGCCGGCGCGCGTGCACCATCTTGCTTGGAATGTATGCTTTTCTTCAAAGTGCGCGTGATATTCATACTTTTTATTCATATTATTGTGATATTCATACGCACTCAACGGGTTACCCCGTTGAGTGCGCTTCTTACCGAGCACTGGTATAATGCAGAGAAGCAACACCCGCGAAGCTCGCTTCCGTGGGTATTGCTTCTCCACAGTGCACCTCTGCTCGGTAAGAAGCGAGCTCAACGGGGCTAACCCGTCGCCATTAACACTTTGAAAAACGCGAATACAGTGAAACCCGTATAAAATGAATCCACGTCCAGCGAATTATAGTCGATATCGAATCACGAAACATTTAAATAAAAATGCATGTAAAAATTACTTTTTACAACGAACACAACATATTGGCTATATCGAACATCCCCCCCCCCCCCCCCCGGGAAGGCTTCCAAAAACGCACAACGATCGTTCTCTAGCCTGTCCCTTCACCCCCCAAAAAAGTAGGAAAGAAAGGAACTTCCAAAAGCTCAAGCCGCGAACGACATTGAGCGCAGAGAAGCGATTCAGAAGGGGAGAAGCTAAAAAAACAAACGCTGCGTGCACGCACGGAAAAAAATAAAACATTTCATTCCAGAGCGGTTGCCCACGAAAGAGACGATTCAGAAGGGGAAATAGGCTAAAAATAAACTTTGCACGCATGCAAAAAAAAAAAAAAAAAAAAAAAAAAAAAAAAAATCCAGCGCGTTATTACAAGGCGGAAGCGAAGAAATGAGAAAGAAATAGAAGCTTTCTTTTTCATCTCAACAAACTTCCTCATCTCAACGAACTTACACGAACGCATTGTGGAAGTTTGTTGTAAATGGGTTTTGCCATATCGAACTACTTGCTATATCGAACTGATCGTTGAGTTTCCTGCTGTTCGTTCTAAACAGGTTTGACTGTAGTGCAGCTCTTCTCGAAGCGAATACCGAATAGTGTATTATTCAAAACTACTATTCGATATTTCAAATATTCGCACAGGCAAGCAACCCGGGGGGGGGGGGAACGAGCCGCGGCGAACCGGCCGCCTAGGACGTATTGTATTGTATTGTGTATTGTATTGTATTCTGCGGCGCAATGTCTTTGAAACGAGAGTCGAAGTTCGACACGCCAAAAAAGTTAAAAAAGAAAAAAAGGAAAGAAAAGAAAAAAAGGGGGAGAGAAGGGGGGAGGTCGTCAGGGCCCACCATCTGTCGTCGATGACCCCTGGTGGGCGGAGGGTAACAGCAACATGAACGCGACAGTACAACTTGCGCCATCTAGCGGCAAACAGAGGCGGCCCGGCAGCAGTAGAGGCGGCGATTGTAACGCCATGTTTTGAGGCGGCGGAAACAAGAACCCTACTCTTGAGCGCGGAAAGAGCGCTCCGAGGAAACAGGGATGTTAACGGCTGTAGCCGTCCTAGTGGCCTGAACAGGTTCTTAACATCTTTAACGTCGTCGTGACGTCACCCTAGTTTTCTCTTTTTTTCCGATCATCGGTCGCTCTTTTCTCGCTTCTTCGCTCGCTCGCACGCTCAGAGCGCGTTACAATAGAAAAGGCTACGGCTGCGCCGGCCTAGCAGAGCCCGCTCGGGCAAGCTCCGGGGAGGGTGCACGGCCGAGCTCAGCCCGGCGCGGCCACTTCACGAGAGCGTGCGCTCGGCAGTCACCAGGGGAAACGTGCCCATCCACGCCACTACACCGCAAACGAATTATGGGAACGGAAGAACGACATTCATGCTTTCACATTCACAACACCTAAGAAGTGCTTAGATGTCCTGGGACTTTCCTTTTCGGATATGGTGCTGGTGTGAGTATTTCAAAATTGATAATATCAGCAAGCCCGGTTCAAACAGGGGCATTTTTTTTTTTTAGAGTGACCGAAACAACATGGGCATATATTCGCCGGAAAAAAACTGCTTACCGCAGACAAAGTGACAAGCGAAGCAAGAAGTTAGTATTCGCTGGTTATAATTGGTTCATACCATTTAAAAGGTTAGGTGCAACACGGATGAAATAAAAGACACACTTACGACAAGGACAGCCGACTTATAACTGATATTAGCGAAGAAACATTCACTCATCCAGTCTGCCGTTAACCATACCGATAAGACAAACCATAAGCCACATATCGGCAGTCTCGTATGAAGCCATCTAAAAAAATGCATTTCCTTATTCAGCTCAAAGATATACGGTACAATATGTACCGCGTAGGTAGAGTGAACTGCATACCTCGGGTAAAGTTAACCCACCCTGTATACTTTCTGTTAAGGGATACTCAAACTCCTCGCGTGAATTTTGGTCGGAATGGCCATTTTAGATATGGCAAACTTGCATTCTCGTATCGGCTTACGTTGGCCCCTTATTGTCGCCGTTTTTTATAAACTAAACGAGAATTTGACAAAACATATTTTTAAACTTTGTCGTGAGATCTTGCTCATTTATTTCCTTCATTCAGCATTTAAATAACTCTGCGTGTTATTTTTTTTTTTCTTTTTTCCTTTTTTTGTTTAGGGAGGACTGAGAGGCGTTGTCTGGACCGATTGCATGCAAGCTTTTGTTACAATATTAGTGCCAACCACGCTCGTCATCAAAACAATGTACGACTCCCAAAGTGATGATTTCAAACCTCGTCATCTCAGCGACTTCGATGTTGGTAACTATTCCCTGGAGTAAGATCGCAAGATTTTTATTTTGTCATTCAACCGCTGTTTTAGGAAAAAAAAACTCCGAGCTAGTTATTATTTCACGTTGCCATGAGTATTTCTGCCAAGCCGCTCGTGTGTTTTAGAATGGTTTCCAGTCATAGAGAGTATGAAAAACGCAGAGTGTGGCCATGTCCCGAGCACGTCATTATCATTCGGCAGCCAATGAGATTGCTGTATTAGCCAATCAGATCGCCGAAGAACGATCTGCGAAGCAATTAACGTCAACATAATCAGCGACGCCCTGCGTTTCATAACTTGAGAGTGTCCATAGGCCAACCAGCAAAAATTAAATGATTTCAAAAGTCGCTCGATCGTCGGGGAGCGATTCCTCGAACATGTCATGACGTAATGAAATAGGTCGTAGAAGGGCAGTTCTTCACAGAGACGTCCCTTTTTAAACTTTTTTTTATTTAAGTACGTATGCGACTGTGACTGCTGAGTTGTCAACCTGAAATTTTGCACGCGGAAGTAATAGCAACTTTTCAGCACACCCTAGAAAGGCCCACAAACACGGCGCGTTAAAAAAATCTTTGATTGTTTTCAACAGACGATAATAACAGGGGGTCATATTAGGCTGATGCACGAAAAAGTTCCCGACATATCATGCGACGTGCTGGAAAAGTGGCGGATGTCGACCAGACGCAGGCCATTCACGGGAGGTCGTGATTGGCCGACGACCGGCTGGATTCGGCCATCCTTCTGACGCGTCGTACGACCTGTGGAGGGTTTGATAAAAAGAGTTCGATGCAAACCTCCCCCACCCCTCCCCATCCCTCGACAAGCTGTCGCCTGTTTGTGGCCATGAAAAAAAGAAAACCGTGTGAGAATACCATTTCACGATCATTGACATTTTCAGGTATTTCTTTATAGATAGCTATTTAGCTCAAGGCACAGAACTGTTAAATATGTTGCATCTTATAGTATCTTTATTTTCGTATAATCGTGTTGTGTTTCCTCCTAGCACTACTTTGGACTTCACAAAAGACGAGAATATTTGGGCCTGCCTAATAGGAGCGCTTCCACTTCATATGTACCGATCTTGTCTGGATCAGATGGTCGTTCAAAGATACCTGGCATCGAGGACCCTCGAAGACGCCAAATGGTATTTCTAGGGGTTGAAAATTCCGAATAAACGGCAACTTGGCAACAACGAAAGTCAAGGCCCATACGCACATTCACGTTTGAAAACGTTTTAGATTCGTTGCGGCGTTCTTGCGGGCAGTACCGGGCACTTGCGGTATTACGCGCGCCGTCCCGCAACGCTCGGTTGCGCAATGCAAGGATGTAGAGACTCGCTCAACATTCAAAGGGGTTGCGGTGCGTTCAACCAATCAGAAGCCGAGAAAAAAGAGAAGGGTCACGTGGTCGCTCGCACCACTCGACGTTGCGTATCCGGTCCTCCGTTCGCTGAACCTCCTTTTTTTTTTTTGTTTCGGGAAGCGGTGGGGGGATCCGCGTTCATGTTTTTCGAAGACTGCGACAGTCCAAGCCCGACAGAATGTCGGGAAAGTCAGCGGGATTGATCCAAGATCGACCACTTCAACGCTGTCGCCGGGCGCTGCCATGTTGCCGTAAATTTCGCTCGCTATTGGTGTGCCGCTAGCGACGATAACGTGTTTTCGACGGCTCTTGACTGCGCTCGAATGCGCGTCAACGCAACTGTGTGTACAAGCTTGGCGCAAGCGCTCTCGGCAACGCAACGCGTCCTCTTGCCGCTCTACGGAACGCACCCCGCTCAAACGGAAATTTGAGTATGGATCTTCAGCCTTTCCGCTTAACTCAGGGCTAACAAGCTAAGGGTGCAATAGAAACACCACTAGACTGCCGGTCTTGTTCAGAAACCTTACTGTTTTTCCACTGTGGTGTAGACATTTGAATGAAAGGCATGACATTTTAGAACAAGAAAATGCACCCGAACCAAACTTCGATAATTGATGTTTCGGTTAACTTGTTTTTGTGCGAATGAAGCCTTTCTAAATCAAATGGCGAAGTAACAGGAGTTGAGGTAAATCATAGAATATTTGAATATTGACATCTGAGAAAGAGAGGACACAGCGTACTGTAACACATTCCTCTCTAGATTTTAAAAAAAAGCCTCGTGAAATTCAGATTCAATTATACTCGTATCGGAAGACAAAACTAATATTTCATGGGTTGTGTATGCAGGACTGCAGGAGTTGGATTAACACTCTTATCATTATTCCATCTGAGCCTAATAGGCATTGGAATATTGCTAATCTACTGGTTCAGGGACTGCGACCCTCTGTTATCGGGTTCCATCAAGCAACTGGACCAGGTGGGCGATGGTTAATGTGAATAATCATTCCCAAACTTTGCACGCGAGAGCCAACTTTTGTGTTGTCCCCTTTTTATTTTTTACGCGAAATGGCTGGCGAATGTTCGCACTTGGTTTCTGTGGTCGGGCTGGTCTTACATTGGGATGACAATCATTGATACAAGTTTTCACTTAATTTATTGTATATATTATATATATCCGTCATAGGTACATGTATAAAGTCGACTTAACGTTGTTATTCTTCACTAAGCATAAGAACTATATCATTCATAAAGTTCTTATATTCTAATGTTACCTTGAGTTTCGGCAGCAGTCACTAAAAGCTTGAAAAGCGCAGGGCGCGGACAGTCATGATCACGCTCTCAGCTTCGTAGTTTGATTGGTTCTTTGGCGTGTCTATCGGCGAATGCCACGATCTCATTGCCTGCGGAGCGGTATTGAGATGCACGGCACGCTCTGAGTTTTTTGAAGAGGCCATGAAATTATTTATTAACTTCTTCCTTCTAAACTTTCCTCCTCAAACCAAAACAAAAATGAGAAACCACGAGGTTTTGAGGTGCATGGGTACCGGTGCAATGACACCAAGCTTCGAGTGTGCTTTTTAAGCACACCATGAAACTTGTCATTCTTGAAAAGAATGGGAGTGCGCAGGCGAGCTGGTGGTAGCTAATCAAGTCGTTTAACACTTGAGACTTTGATGCATAAAATGAAAAACTTGCATAACTAATAGATAACACTTTTCGAGATGGAAAGAGATTTCCGTGCAATAACTGCTACCGTGAGGAAACTAGAAAGGAGGTCGCTTCAGTTGCTGCAAACCAACAAAAGTGGCATGTTCGGCATTCTTCCGGGGGTAGTGTCCCGAAAAACGCCAGAGGAGGCCCTCAACACGCTTTTTGTTGAGTGTAAAGGGAACATTTGGAACATAAGAGAGGAAGTTGTTACAATTATCAAGGACGATGAGTGGAATCTCTAGCAAAACAAGGCCAAGCGAGGTCTTCGTTAAGCCTAAATTTTTTTAAAGATCCTAAGCCGGATATGCCTATTCGCAAGGTGATCAATGAACTTGGAAAGTGGCAATGTGGCGTCTCAAAGTTTCTACTATGAGGGCTGAATGTAGGTCAGTTGGAAAAGCGCCCGTCACTAAGGAATTCGGAAGCACCAATCAATGTTCTAGAGTGTTTTTTTGGAAAGCAATGTTCTGTATGGTCCATGGACATCAAGGATTTTTACAATGCACTAGAGAAAACCCGCCTTTTGCAAACAGTTAGGCAAGTGCTGGAGTTGAATTTGGTAAACTTCCAGTCTAGTATAGGTATCGCCGTGAACAGTTTCTTTTCTATTCTTGAAGTGTGCCTTCAGGACAAAGTTGTTGAATATAGTGGTCGGAAATATTTTCATAGGGATGGCGTGTGAATCAGATCCTCCTTGGTTTCGAAGTTAGCAGAAATCTATCTAAATACCATAGATAAATCCGTAACTGACCAGCTAGACGAAAAAAATCTGAATGTCAGAAGGGAAAGAGTACCGGCGAGGTGGTTAAACGACATAGTTGAAAACCCTGAGAAAAGGGTAAATGAAAAAAACGGACGAGACAACACAATTGTTGCTTAACAGGGATCATAAGAACAGCAGATCCAGAGCTTAAGTTTGCAACAGAACAACCTGAAGATGGGATCCTATAATTTCTTGATTTAAGCATACATATAAAACAGGGTCTTTGCTGGGAGTATAGAAAATAAACGCCAAACCTGTGTTAAGTAGAGATAGTAGTCATGCTAAATCGGTAAAACCAGGGGCTGTAAGATCCCTAAAAACAAACGCACAAGTGCACTTTTATATGAACATTGCGGTAAAGGGACAATAGATAAGGCTAGAAGCTGCAGGATGTGAAGAGGAATTCATAAAAAGGCAATTGGAATTGAAGTATAAAGATGGCTGTCAGCAAAAGGAACAAACAATAAAGAAGATAGCAGTGGTTCCGTATTTCTACGGGATTTCCGATAACTTAATGGCTTGCAACAAAAAGTTTAGAGTAGACGAATTATTCTCCTCAGATTTCAAAACGAGCAGGTTGACGCCATTTCAGTCAAACCATAAAGACTGCCAGAAGGCTCATCGTGAATCTTCAGTTCCTTGCGTAGAGAGTTTGGTGTATTAGATACCGTTAGCTATGCAGGTTCAAGTACGTCCGACAAACCTCGAGATACGTAAAGACAGGCTATTAGATATTGGAACGTAAGATAAATGTAAGCACAAATGCGTCGAAACCAGAAATCGCAAAGCACATTCAGGAATGCAACAATCGTACTCTGGTCAGAGACAGAAGTTCTACATAAAGAGGAGCGGAATGATATGAAAAGGGTCGTAAAAGAAACAATAGGGATAAGGTCTGTCGTAAACTGCGTAAGCCAAACCTCGATGCAGCTTGGAAGCCACGTTAAAAAGTTCCTCAAATTAGAAACTACACCTTGTATATATATATATATATATATATATATATATATATATATATATATATATATATATATATATATATATATATATATATATATATATATATATATATATATATATATTAAATAAATATTTTTGAAGTGGTGCTAATATTTGGGAAGCTTTGCCCGGGTCGGGGTACAGAGCGCAGCAGTCGCCGTGTCCCTGAAGCCATCCCGATGTAGGTGTGCCGGAACCCTCTTGCGACGTCCTTGACGGTAAGGACATTGTTTTGTGGGTTTGACCGCATAGTCTCTTGTATATGTGCTCTGTATTCGAAAATGCTTTCAATAAAAGAGATATCTGCGAAAAACGTTTGACAATAAGGGTATTGGTGGTTTGAGAGCTCGATCTCTTGTGAATGTGCATCGTCTTTGTATTTCAAAATGCTTTTAACAAGTGGGATATCTATGTGTGTAGGTATAGTATATATAGAATGCTGGGTGGATATAGTATATTATGCACTATACCCACACATATATATAGGATGCTAGGGAAATGAACCAGTTAGCTGTGTTTGACACGTTCCCTTCTGTGTCTGTTCCTTCGACTAAGAGTCTTTCATTTTCTGCACCACAGTCTCAGGTGTTGAACGACATGATTGTAAATCGCTTCGATGATAAGCGCCTTCAAGCAGTCATTGGCCACGAATGCGATTCCAAATATTTGTCGACGGATTCATCGTTGACGAGCACGTACACGTCCGTATGAGGCAGTGCTCGTGCCCGATGCATGGGCTCGCTTCGGCTGACGTGCCTCGGGTACCGCGGATGTATCACAGTGAAAGGACGGAGAGCTTTCGAAGGAAAGGAGGTACGAAGTAGTCCGCCACATCTTAAATTTAGTACCGATACGAAGGCTTTTGAGTATCTACCCGCTTCCTCTCGGCCCACTGAACGATATGCGATTAGCAAAATCCCAACCTAAAACTATTTATCCCAGCCATCGCCTGCCCTCTGCTGTCAGTGGCTATAATGACAAAGCGCAGAGTGAATCCCGGAGAAAAGCTCTCTAGAGAAAAGCTCGCCGGAGATAAGCTCAAAGGAGAAAAGCACACACTTTTGTGCGAGTCCGGACAAAAGCTCTCCAGTAATTGACAGAGCCGGAGAAAAGCTCACCTCGAACAAAATTATTATTTGAAGTGGTCGTTATCACTTAATAGCAGTATAGTGCTGGCAAGGTTTAAGGCTTCTCCCACGCAGACGGTACACCGCGTAACAGAGCTAACGCGAAGTGATATTTTGCACTTTTACTTAAAGAATGGGTTGATCACCGTCAGGCGTTTATTGCGTAAGTTTATTCCCCGAATGAGCAATTTCCACCACACTAATCGTTTTAAAAGCAACCACTAAAATGTAAAAAAAAAAAAAAATCATCGTTTGTTTATGTTAACCGGTCACCCAGTGTACACACTTCACATCAGGTCGCTATGCTGTGAGCAAAATAGAAATAATACAAATTAAAACAAATAAGATTTATTTCATTTAAATCAGTCCCGAGTCCGATACCCGGACCAGGCGGAGTTTTTCGGTCGCGCACCAGTCACCTAGCTGTGTTTAAAGGTTAGTGTTTGTCCTTTGTCCCTCTTGTTCCCCCTCTCCAGGGATTATTTTCCTTATTCTTGTCCAGCTCGCTTTCACCTTTGCATTTAATTGCATTATAATAATACCTCTGTTGCTAAAAATATTGATGATTTATCACTATATGCCTTTTTAAAACACGGCAGGATTTTTTTATACATTTTTTCGATTAATGAAAACAATGCGGAAAGAAGAATTACCACAAATATGACAACTTTTATTTATGAAAACCCCGCCATACTATGACTACCTCCTAGCATCGGCAAAGTATGGAGTTTAACTGAAACTTAGTATAGAACAAAAACAGCTTAGTTTTTTGTTAGCGAAAGCTGTATTTGCTTTTTTTTTTTCGCAGTTTGATTTACCAGCAATACAACATTACTTTCTAAGTTTTCGTTTCCGTCTTTTGCGCTCTGATTTCATTCTAAAAGGATGTGACGTAACTGACGAAGCAAATTGGAGGTAAAAATGAAGCTCAATGCTTCGATATGCTACAAAGACCACTCACTACCTTTTGCTCGTGTTCACTCAGCTATAAATCTTTCTTGTGTGATAATTCTTCGACTTAGATACAAATCATATAACCATATAAAAAGCACCATATAGGTAATAAAAAAAAATCTGAGTTTTTTTTTTAAGTCATTTTATTTTTCGTTCTTCGCCCCAGCTGTCGCCCTTTTTCCACTTTTATGTCGACCCATATCGCGTGAGTGTTATCATAATTTTTCTGACCTAGCCGGGATAGAGGAAATACGACTGGTTTTATTTTCCGTTGAATTAGGCAAGAATCAAAACCACGGCTTCATAATTGGTGAAATCTGGAGATTTGGCGATGCGGTGTCGGTTTACTACATAAATGGTCTTTACATAACTTAATATCCAGGAACTACTAAAGCTGCAGCACTCTAGACTGTCTATATCCCCCCTTAACTTTTTTATTTAACGTTGTATTGAAATTATTTATTTTATTTTTGTCTGACAACGCCTGACATGCAACAGGATGCTCTTATATTTTAAGAATATACTCCGCTATACTCCGTTGACCCTTAAGCTGAAAGTGGAAGCTCCGCCTTCAGCGCGAGCTCGCTGGCTTCCGAAGCACTTTGCTTGCGCGTGCCTGCGCGAGCAGACTTGTGTTAGCAAGGACAGAAAGCTCGCGCTGAAGGCTGAGCTACTCTCAGCGTAAGGGTGACCGGACCTTACGCGCATAATGCATCCCAGCATACTTCAGTTGAGTGAACGTATGTCACTTGAGTGAACACTCGATTCTTATAGATTCGTAGGTGAGCTTTTCTCCGCATCCGTCAAAAGGCCGATGAGCTTTTCTCCGCATCGGACAGTTTTGCGGTGAGCTTCTCTCCAGGGTGAGCTTTCTTCCAGTTAGCTTATATCTCCGGTGAGCTTTTCTGCGGTCAGCTCTTCTGCGCCGCCCCGTATAGTTTCAATAAGAATTCGAGATTAGGTCCTCAAATACTAACGGCCTATTTGGTTTGGTTCTTGCACTGACTCCAGATCCTGCCCTTCTACGTGAAGGAGCATTTCGCTGAATTTCCTGGATTTTCCGGGCTCTTTCTAGCTGGAGTTGTTTCTGCGGCCATCAGGTATTGAGCACAACACCGGAGCAATTGTTTTCATAAAAAGGAAGCGCACTAAAGCACGATTAGAATAAGACACGGAATGAGGAGCAATTATAAAAAAAAAGTTGCCTAACTCGAGAGATTTCAGGTGCAATGGTACCATATAAAATGCCTTTGAACCTTGAAATTTACACTGCATCATACGAAATATTTTTCAGCTTGGTGGGCTTCATATAGCTTTATATGCGTGTCAGTTATCAAGTGCGATTCTTTTGAGTAAAAAGCGTGCATGTGTCCAGTAAACCTTGTTATCGCTCTATTAAGATTGCAGCATTAGCGGATAACAATTCCATAGAGTGAATGGCTAACCAAGGACCGTGAACATCATAAGTCACGCCTACTTTTCAAAGTGACTGTACCTGAAATTATCTTCTGACTCTCGGAGTATTCGCACTACCGAGCAGCACTGACTAGTTAGTGTCTGGAAGACTTTAAATATTTCAAACGTGCTTGGAATTTACTGCAATGCACCCATGACCTCTTAAAACGTCAAACAGACTAATACTGTCAGTGGTACGATATATCCCGATTGCAAATATCGCAGTTTTTATCAAGAGATCGTATTGCGCAAAATTATGATTGCCGGTATACTGTTAAACGCTCATAAAGAAGAGTCGTTTTTTTTCTTCTCGCTCGTCGTACAACTTTAAGACAGAATACGTATCATTATTATAATGAAGCTATTATAGGGCTATTCAGCACGGAACAATATACAATAAGAGTGACACAACATCACCGCATATCAAGCACAATCCAGACACGTCGTATTGAAACAGGTAACAGGTTATATTAAGCAAGGCAACAGCAGTGCCTCGTACGGAAACAATTAAAAAAAATACATTATACATCATATTTAAACATGGCATATGATTCCAAGTTTTTGTAAACACAATGTAGCCGTATTGCAATCCTTTGGTTCAAAGAATGTTAAGAACATGTCTTCGCGACTCCAACGGTGTGCAATTGATCCGCGTTAGTCCAATTCACATTTTCGCTGCAGGCGCGGAAGCTTTCGCTGCACATTTTAACAGGAACGAGGTTCCCGTTTATGAAGGTCACGTGTTTGCCGCTTGGTGACATCGTCTCTTCAGGAACTGGAAAGTGTAGATAGTTTCAATGAAATGTGTTCGAACACGTCCCAGTAAAACACGACGTGACAGCAGATATGACAATCAAGGCGTACAAAATTATGTCAGAACCCTTGACGAGCAGTTAAAATACATGCCTAAAATTCGGCACATATTGCAATCTGTACCCTGAAGCTAGGCAGCATGCGCAAAATATCGCGAATTATAGAAGACCCGGGGTATTCTTTGGCTTCAGTGTATTTTGTTCTAATATTACATGTTGGGGAAAAAAAACAGAACAGCCGACACGATCTGCGTCGAACTGAACATAAGGCGCACACACGCATGTCTTGGTTTTCCTCTAGGTAGATGTTTCTAGGAATTGAGTCCATGCAGTATGAGACAATGAGAAACCTTTTTTGTTGCTTGGTCGTCACTACTTATCATAGCCATTTTTGCGAAATTGGACGAGACGCATCATTTTGAGTAATTGAATTCAGGCACAAATATTGTTTTTAGAACTGCAGTGTGAAGTCAGTGCAGTTTAACGCTCATAAAAGAGATTCAGAGCACGCAGTACGCAATGAGTCATGGAAATCAGGCATATTGACCTAGCACGCATTGAAATAAGACGCATCTTGCTTTACCTGAAATATTAAAGAAAAATTATGTATTTCACGCTTCGAATTATCTCAATAAAAAAAAAGAAAACGGGGAGACGCTTAAGGTTTGCTCTTCAGAGTGGATCGCGATAGCGTTATCGGGCCCCGTTCGCAAAGCCTTCTGATATAAACCCGCACTCGTTCCTAAGCCGTGCAAGCGTGTGAGCTTGGTCTAATCGGAAGCGTCACGTGACGTCATGTCACGTGACTCGTGACGTTACAATTGGCTGTGACGTTATGACCTTGTCGACCCGCCACATTTAGCGGAAAATTTTCCGTTCAATTTGGCGGGAAAATTTTCCACTAAATTTAGCGGGTCGATAGGTTCATGGCGTTACAGCCACGTGTGACGTCACACGTGGCTGCGCGTGTTGCATTATCGGATATTATGGTTTCACCGACGCCTACGCCGACGCCGACGCCGGATTTTTTGTGAGACGAACCGTGTCGCCACCGTGCGGCCGAAAATGGAAACATGACAAAGCACGGATACCGCCGTGCGTCGTCTGCTACGGGCGCACGTTCAGAAGCTTGGATCTCGACGACGCAAACGCGTTTCCGGCTAAGCTGGGCCCTCCGTATGAAATGCGTGTTCATTTGTTGTCGTTTATTTTTACTAAAAGTTGTGTTGTGTCGTTTCACGGGCTTGCAAATTCAGCAAAGAGCTTAATATTAAGTCGTACGCTACAATAAATTTAGTGTTGTAGTTTCTGGAACCACTGGTCCCATATATTTTTTGTTATCTCGCACAATCCTTTCATAAAACATTAAAAGTTCCGCAACAAAGGAGTTTCTTGGCCAGTGGCGTTGCGTGCGAGTATCCTTGAGACCCACTAGTGCCAGTAAGCTCGTGTGAAGTGAAAAATATTCAAATTGAATATCGTTGCACCGCTCTTTTAATTGGATCTGGATTTAAGAACCTCCCGAAATTCATTGTGGTGGGTCGACTAAATTATAATATTTGTTTTCTAATTAAGCTACACTTCGTCTCAGCTTAATTCAAGACACAGCCGACGCTACGCGTAATTGGGACGAATCAAGCGTCAGTCACTCGGTCTTTTCTGTTTATAGTTGGTTCAGCGATGAGAGAACACGTAGAGAAACACGACAAACACCATGACGGTGCGCTTTTGGCGCTGTTTGATTGGTCTTGTCAGCTCGCAGCATAGGCTGCGTCTGGACTTAAAGGTATACTTCAACGAAATTTGAAATATATCAGTCGGGTTAAAAAATAGGTTGAATATGATCCACAATATCCGTAAATGACCATCGCACGTTTGTATTTTGAGCCTGGTGGCTCTATTTTTTGTTATAAACGGCTCATTCTAGCAAGCGCTCGGAGAAGGTCCAGCTTAGAGCACGTGACATCCAACGCAATCGTGACGTAGGTCGTCTCAAGACGAGCAAAGCTACGGCGAGGCTGACGTGGAGAGGATGGCCTAGTCGTTCCAGCCACCGAAGCGGCTGCTTTTGCACGAATTTTGAGTGACAGTTTAATCTTCTATAATCTTGTAGGGGAACAATAGAGACTTCTGCGACACACAAAAGGCATTCTCGGGAAGGGGGGAGTTCCTCCTTCCCCTTTACTCTCGTCATGGCCAGAGGCGAGACAATAACCGTCACTACCTCTCAAGGTTCCTAGATGGGCATTACAAACAAGGCGTTAGCGACATCCACCAGGTGCTCTTTGCTAATCGTTTATTTCGCTTTAAAATTTCTTTTCGTGTCTTTTTAACAAGATATTGGTGTGTCCGACGTGATAATGCTCTTTTGGACACGTATAGACCATAAAATAAGCGGCGAAATTTCGTTGTAGTACCCCTTTAAGGTGAAACCAAGTACAGTTCTGAAAGAATTGGAGTTCCATTTCTTTTTTGTTTTGTTTTTGATAGTGACGCAAGTCTATAATCGCGTAAGTAATGAATTTTAATATTTGCAAAATATTGTTTTCTGAAGAAGGTACATTTTACCAAGATTGGTTTCCGTAGCTGTACCCCAGACAAGACTGCCACAACTTGAGTGAAAAAAAGGCACGTAAGAATGCTTACGTGTAAGAATGCGAAAGCATTCGTTACATGCAGCGCATTCCTACAAGAAGCGCGCCACGTCTTCATTTTTCACACTGCGCTCCGGCGGTGGAAAAAATCAATTTGGTCTTGATATCGATCAAAGGACCTCTTCATTTCCAGTGGAGCGCCCTACCTAGTGAGCGTAGCAGGAGTTAGACATCTGTGGAGCAAACGGGTTTTTTTATCAGCTGCCACTAGTTTAACACCAACAAGGGTGAACGGCCTACCTTTTAAGTTTATGATGACAATGCAATATGCAAAGGAGCAAGCGAGCTGGACAAAAATAACAATAATAATCCCTATCTTCCTCGTATCTTCGTCGTAACCAGGGTGTAAGATAGACAGGTGGGGAAACGAGATCCAAATGAGCGACCGGTTTGTGTCCCCCTCGGGTTTCTCTTTTTCTGTGGCGCCATCTATGTTGAGCACCGCGAACTCTCACTCCGGGTGGGCGACCGGTGGCGAGGCGACCGGCCAATTTGGACCGGCTAAACTGACGGAGATTGTTTCTCGTGGATTTGTAATAGAGGACTGTCGTGCTCTCGGTTTATTTTGCGCACTCTCCCATAGAGTTCCATGCAAATCCGATTTCGGTTTTTGACTTCTCGCCGCAGCGCCATCTGTCGCAAATTGGCGGTACCCGCAAGCAGACGAGTACACAATCCGGTCACGGCGCTGCGGTAGGCTTCTATGGGCTGTTTCCCCACCTGTCTATCTTAGACCCTGGTCGTAACCTTCACGAGTGAACGTGACTTCGCGCATGACGTCGTTATGGGAAACGTCCTATGATGCAACCGGCGGGACCCTCGGGACGTCACGTGTGACGTCATTATGGGAAGTCCCATAATGCAACGCACGAATCACGAGTGATACCCGTGCGTTGAATAAAGGGACATTTCTCAAAATGCACCGCGCGGTTATGCCGACGCCGACGGCGACGCCGCCCAAGCCGGAAACGGACGCCTAAGAGCTGTGCTCTAAAAAAACTCTGTTCCCTTTTTTTTTTATCAGTTGCTGCTAGAATTATTATTGGTTCGGGCAGCAAGTTAAGTAATGCCGTCATAGTCAGCAGTTGTTGGATGAAGCAGAAATTTCAAAAGTGACCTTATAAAATAAGCGGTGACCTCAGTAAGAAACTACGTAAGAATCCAAAACAATACCCCTTATTTTTCTCATATACGCACCTAGTGTGCAGTACTGGTTTGAAATAGAGGCATTTTTGGAAAATCATAATCAGCAAACTCAAAATTGATTTGTTTGTTTTAATTTAATCGGAAGACATCAAACACTAGACTTAACACATAATAACGTGCACACATATCGCTGAAACACAAGCAAAATTGATTGGATCCTCATACCATGTGTAACCTCCTCTGCGACTCCGGAGCAAAGTGCCATCCTACAAATTCCTACGTAAAAATGGGCCAATAGAGTATACAGTATAGATATATATTAATGTATGAGATGAACATGCAGAAGCATATGACTGGTGAAAATTACATAATTTTACGTAAGTTTTACAAGGTATGATACGTTTATTGGACAAAGCTTATGAGAAAATGTCCTCTTTTCAAAACTGTAGTTCACGAGTTAAGGTTCTGCCGGAATGCCGCAAGTCAGGAAAGCTCATTGAGGTTAAAGACTGATATCCCAAGATGGTCGAACTATTTCATACGTCTTCAGTTGATGCGTAGAAGAGTGCCCTTCGATTAGGCATAAAATTTCCGAAGTTTGATTTTTCAATTAAAATCCTGCATTGATTCTTTGCGTAATTGGTGTGACTGTACAGATGCAATTTACGATTACCACATTAGCCGACTGAAGTATTTATATTGCAGCACAATATCGTCCATTATCAATTCCCAAGCCGCTGTGCTGTATACTGACGTTGTGTCGCAGTATTTTACGCTGACCGAACTTCAAGCCACGAGGGTGACGAGATGCCTCGGTATGAAGCTTTCTTGCACACATCAACTTGTGTGCCATTCTTTTGACAGTGACTAGCCCCTGGTCTTTTTTATACAAACAGCGCTTGCAGCCGGCACCGTCATGACACTTTACAGTGCTGCTATACCTTACATGGGCTCTGCGAGCAGGGTAAGTTACATTTCTACTGTAGCTTAATATGTACACAGAGCAAGCGCACCGTATCCTCTATCCGCAACAAAGTTTTTTTTTTCGATTTTTTTAAGGTACAACATTTCTGCCTTATTGCATGGAACGACGTTAAAAATTGATTGAAGAGTATTTGATATCAGATACAAATTACTCCCATATACCTACGCACAGTTAATCTGCGTTTTTACAAAAGTAGAAATATGTACATGATTGATACACTTAAAACATGAGCGTGTTAACAACGGGAAATAATTGTAGGTCCTTGAATAAGCAGAATGGCAATCGAGCTAGAATAATATTGCCTTACTAAACCTTGGGCTTTTAGAATTTTGAAAACGCCACTGTATGTCGTAAAAAAAAAAAAAAACTTTTTTCGTTGTTGACATTGCTAGGGATTGTAAGAGAACACAACCAGAGCGAAAAGCGAGGTTTCAATTCCGAAAAAAAAAATTCCTCACTGGGTGCATTTAAGGCAGGGATGTAATGCTACCTCGCGCTGAAAATATAATGTTTAAGGTCGTTAAGTATCAAATATCCAATTTATCCATTATAATTTTAAACATTCGGCTAACGTTAACATAATGAATATTTGTTAAAACTAAGTTTGTTTGTGGTGCTTTTCTAGTTCTCTGAGCACCCCCATTCGTATGTTTAAATTTCGTTGATAAGCAGAAAAGAGAATACTTTACTCATGTGGGGTTCGTAGTAGAAGAGGAGGAAAATGAAAAATCAGTTGTTAGTCCACCGGTCTGTATGGTATTTTTTTTGTGTGTATGTTTATTTTAGTTCAGCTGCCCTTATCTGAAGTACGAACCAACTAGCTCAGCTTAAGCCTGTTACAGCTTCTCGAAACCGTGTTTGCAGTTATCTCTTTATAAGTAGGAAGAAAACGACGACTTATATCTTGTATATCGCATCATCATTTCAAAGATAGTGAGTATTTGTGGCGCTCACCCTTTTTATTCACCTGTCACCTCTAAAAACAGAGCAAATAATATATGCTGCTAACATTTTCAAGATTGTCATTTTCACACTCAAGCACCCTGGCCACATTTTATGAGAAATTCAACGGTAATACTGAGATCCAGTAAGATTTGAAGGCGTCCAATCGCACGGGGACACTTCGGCTTGTAGTGTTGTGGAAGTCTCATATAATGTTATAAGGTGGCTTGGCCTATTTTATGAAAATCCACGTTTTATATACACGCATCCTCCGTTACACTTAGTAAGTCAATCTGCGTTGACGTCAATAAAACAATAATAGGCTCTTTTCATACACTATATAGAGTCACAACTAAAACAAGATATTTCTGAGGTCATAACATATATGACCAATGTTCAAACGAGAACTCCATTCGAACCTTGTGAAGGCAACAGAGCTGAGGGCCCTCCGATGCCGGTGCTTCGTCTTTCGGCTTTTCAATAAAAGCCTAGCCTCTTTAGAGAACTACTGATCAATGATTCTATTGCCACTTAAAATGTGTTAGGTACTGAAAGTCTTGTAATATTTAGAGCCAAGGCCACAATGTTTTTTGTTTGTTATTTTTTGCAAGTGCATGTCTGGATATACAGTAACCCTATTCTACTCTTCTCTTTTCAACGGTGTGACTTTCAAGAGCTGCTTGCTGGCCGTATCAACAGCGTAGAGGCTGTAATTGCATCCTTACCCCAATAAATAGCTCTCGTATACTTTCTGAAAAAAAAAAGCATTATGTCTCTTCAGATATTCATGATGGTGTACAACGCCGTTACTGGACCTTTCGTCGGTCTCTTTCTGATGGCCCTCATTTTTCCATGCGTCAATAGTAAGGTAAGTGATGAAATGCATGCAAGACATGCCATTTATTATCATTATCATGATCATCATCACAATCATCACTGTCCATTATTCTTGAAGGCCGTTACGGGCATTCTCCAAGAAATTGGTACTTTTTTTTTAAACAGAACATTTTGGCACGCAATTTGAACACAGTAGAAGAAGGACTTAGTAGGATAAAGCAGATATGAAAGGGGTGACAGAGGCAGCAAATGTATGTGTGTCAGTTATAGTAACAACGTCGTTTGGTAGTATGTTACAATCGTTGATGGCCAAGGGTAAAGTTGAATTATTATATGAAGTAGCTGGCGGGACAAAATTGGCCGCAACTAGGAATGGTCAAAGCGAGGTAAAATGTGCCACGAGGGTAAAAGCAGCGATTCACGAAGAGGCATGCTATGGTGAAAGGTAAGGTGAAGGAGAGAGAAACTCGGCGCCTTAATTAAGGTGTGTGAAAGTTAGCAGTTTCACGCAATCCAGATTTGCTATTGAATGGTGGGTAATGAAAAAAATAATAAACGCAGAGCTCTGTTTTGGATGGATTCAAGTTTTATAACTAAAAAAGATTTTCACAAGCGAATTCAAGCTTTGACCGACCTGAAGGAAAGTATTATAGTTGTTTTATTGTTGGTGTTGCGGGTTTCGGGTTTCGGCGCAAAAAGCCGAAAGAACAGTTTTCGTGTGCTACTATATCATTTAAGGTCATCTGCCATTGAATGCACCATTGAATAACTAGTTTAATATCTGTTTGCAAGGTATGGTGATCGTCGGGCGAGTGAATGGGGCGGTAAATTATGCAATCGTCTGCAAATACGCGAACTGATGACGAGATGTGCTCATAAATGTTATTAATGTAGATTTAAAAAAAGTAACGGCCCGAGGTTACCGCGCACGAGGGGGATTCAGAATTATTAATGGTGGTACTCAGTGCGGTTGGTAACAAATTCGGCCATTATACAATACCGGGTTGGATTTTAAATTCGTGAAGTATTATTATAAGACGTTGACAAGAATGCCTATACACCAACTCATGTTTACAAACAAACCGGAGCGCTCCTAGCGGACGCCACCGGCGCCGCGCATGCGCGGTGGATGGTGGGCAAGAAGCCCGCCGTCGCCCATAAACAAACCATTGAATTGCGTTGTTGTCGGCGTCGGTGGGAGTCCCCGTGCTCTTTTTTGCGTTGGAATTGTTGATTCTACGTCCTCCTAACAATGTCTGACTACTTGAGCGGCTTCAGCAAAACTATCGAGGCAAAACTTTGCATGAATAATGTGACGTGCGGCGATTCATTTCACGCGGGCGCCGCAAAATGGGCGCTAAAGCCTGACTCCCACGATGAGGTTCTGCTCGCTATATTCAGTCGCGTCGTCGCTCGGACTGCAAAAGCGTGGACCGTAGCTGAGATGGTGGACATCGATACTGAAAACCGCAAGTAGAATCGGGCATTACAAGTCGGTGATGGCCACTGGTAACAATGATCAACAACTTCTTGTATCTGTTCACACTTAGCCGACTTATCCCAACCAACCTTCAAAAGTGTTTTGAGGCTTGCACTTAGTTCTTATCGCAATTACCGGGTCAGCGTTTGGTTTACGGGCCGCTGTCGTTTGAACGAGCTGACGACAAAAAGCAGCCAAGTTTGAAAGAGCAGACGACAGTTCGAACGCACGCGCAATGGAGTACGGGCAAAAAGCACCGCGTTCCGCGTCAACAAACCATTCGAATGTCACGTTGTCGGCGTCTGTGTGAGTCTGCATACTCTTTTTCGCGTTGGAGTTGTCGATTCTACGTCCTCATCGCAATGTCTCACCACTTGAATCGCCTGAGCGAAATTATCAAGGCTCGTTACGCCGCTAAACTTTCCGTAAATAATTTGACGTGCGGCGATTCATTCGCATGAAGGCTGCAGAATGGACGCCAAACCCATGATGAGATTCTTCTAGCTGTTTTCGGTCGCAACGTCGCTCGTGCTGCAAAAGTGTAAAAGGTAGCGGCGATGATCGACGTCGATACTGAAAATCGGAAGCGGGAACAGACCAAGCGTAACAAGTAGGTGATGGCCACCGGTACCAATAATTAACATCTTGTATCTACTGTTCACACCGAGCCTACTTAAGCCTTTTGAGGCCTGCAATTACTTCTTATCGCAATCATCGGGTCAAAGTTTGGTCAACGGGCCGTTTTTGTTTCAACGAGCAGACGACAAAAAGCAGGCAACTTTGAAAGAGCAGACGAAAGTTCGAACGATCAGGCGGCCGTGTGAATTTGAAGACGCACTGAACCCGTGGGTGGCCCGGACGACTTGGGGGTTTTCTCTCGTTCATGTTGAAATAAAGCAAATACATCTGGCGACCACAAATTGTGGCCCGCACACGCAATCGTAGTTCGACAGCGTCTGGTTTGCCCTTTTCACGGCTACTATCCACGTTCTCGGACGAACAGAGGGTGCAAAAACACATGAAAACTGATCTTCAAATCTTTCCAGACTCTCTTGGTAAAGCCCCCGTCGCAGCATTTTGACGAGAAGGCAGGTTTATTGTCTCATTTCTTCCAAAGGAACACAGGAATGCATGTCTGGCACGGCGACTTCTGCCCACCGCCTCAGACCGGAAGTGCGTCCGGCGCGCCACCACCGCGGCGTGACGTAGGAGAGTTGAGTTGGTGTATAAAATGCTTTGGAAAAATCGAGACTAATGGCGTCAGTTTTAATTTTTGTATTAAAGCCCGCGTGAATGTCATGAAGAAACGTGGTTAGTTTGGTTTCACAGGAGTATGCTTTCTGGAAACAATGTTAGTGATTAAAAAGAAGGTTCTTATCTTCTGAACAATTGATTATACTGGAGTAAAGTACGTGTTCCATTAACTTAGACGCTAGTTAGGTAGATGAGACGATACCTTGTAATTAGTTGGCAGTCACAAGATTTGAAAACGGGCTACGTTGCCAGTTTCCCAATCCCGAGGAATTTCAGAAAGAATAAGTGACTAGGAAATTGTGTCACAAACGCAAGCTCCGGATGTGTGTTTTGTGCTTATTAGAATCTTAGAATTGATTTCGTCACCCCCTGAGCTGAATGACAGCTTAAAGTTCTCGGTTGCTTTTAGGACGCCGGAATATTCAAAAGTGATGGGCCTCATCAGAGTTTACCAAAAATGGTGTAAGACGAGATTATTCATGAGGTTTTCATCTGTAAAGACGGAACTAAATAAATTATTACGTGAAACAGTACCTTGGTGATTGGATAGATTATGCCCGCTGGGGTCAGTGAATTTTAGGGAATAACAATCTTCAAGAAAATGTTGGCTTGTTAATCAAAATGTTAGAGAGGTCCCGAGTATAGAATTTTGTTTTTGCTTCGTTTGGGAGGCTGTATTGTATCCTTTTGCACACGCGTGGTATTTGTCCCAGTCTTCCAGTATGTCGCAGCACTTAGTTCGTCTGTAAAGACTCTTCTTTTTGTTGGAGTGCTTCTGAAAATTTTGTTATACCACGGATTGTTGCTATCAGAGATGACGCGAGTGAGTGGTATAATACACTCAGTGATTTCAGTTATTTTATTTTTGTACAGTGTCCAGTCAACGTTAGCAGATCTTTCCCTTAAACCATTCGAGAACAAGCCGTAAGAGTGTTTTAGCTGTGAGTTGATAGGGGTACAATCGGCACTCGAGTAATCGCGAATCACTTTAGTGTAGCGTAATTTATGAGGAGTGGGGAGGGAGAGTGTTAATTCAATAACAAAGTGGTCACTAATGCAGGATAAGTATATTATAATACTGGTAAGGGCGAGCTCTTCAATTAGGCACAGGTACAGCGCAGTGCTACAGTTTTTGATAGTTCTGGTTTATTAAACGATAACGGATGAAAGATGAAAGCCAAGGCAAAAATCAACAGAACCATCGGAAGAAGCTCTGCCGGGGGAAAGGGCAGTCTAATGAATATCTGGGCAATTAAGCTCCAAGAAGAACAAGGATAAATGGCTGTAAGTTGAAACAGGCATTTATGAAGCTCAGTAACTAAATCATTACCACTATCTGGCGGCCTGTAGCATACTCCAAGTAAAATACTTGGCTTAGAAATGAAGCATACTATGATGGTGGCCAGGCTTGTTTCTACCAAGATAAGGCTTGATGGGATACAATTATTAACGGATAAAAGAACACCCCTCTCTCTCCTTCCGACTCGGCCGGAACGGTAGACATGGAAATCAAAACGTGGAGGAAACAATTCTGAGTCAGCGACATCAGGGTTTTGCCTGTCACGATCCTTCTCGAACGTGGACGAAGGGGGCCGAAGCACCCGCCGAGAAGAGACGACACGCAGCCTGGTTGTTGGGGTGAACGATGACTGACCCGGGCGGCTTACGCTCCGCGGTGTTTATTGTCGCGGTGCCCAATGTTGCCCGCCAAGCCTGGCGGCCACAGACGGACGGACTGGAGGGGGCGCTACATACTTGTTACATTCCTCCCCCCAGTTTGTTTTTGCTAAAAACAAAATAAATAAATAACAATTCACACGGCCGACAGGTTTTGTGTCTGGTCGTGCCAAGTCCTGGCCGGTCGACGACGAAGGCTACCCTGGCGAGTAACGGTCAGGCGGCCTTCGCTGCCGCGTACTCCACACTGGGGGTCACGAACACGTACTTGTCCAGCCTCAGCTTGAGACCGGCGTCCTGTAGTCATTTCAGGACTTTGCGCAGGTTCTGCAGGTGGTCCCCGTCGTCGATACCGGTAACCCGGATGTCGTCCAAGTACACCGCCACGTGCTTCATGCCCCTGAAGGGGTTATCCATCTCTCTCTGGAAGATGGCTGGGGCTGAGGCCACGCCGAACAATTTGAAACACACATCGAGGCCACTTGTCGATGTGTGGTTCAAATTGTTTCGAGTTTTAGGACTTTGTCTTTCATATCTTGCACAAATAAATTGTATGCGAAATTCTGAGGCGGTCTGACAACACTGAGAACATTGCCATTTGTACGTTGGCAAACGTCGTCGGTACCAAAGCACGGTAGAGGCATCGAAGACAACCGTACGGACAGTGTCCGATGGCGTGGAAGCGTCTATAGGCCTCCGAGAGTTTTGTCAGACAGTTTCGGTTTTTCATGGTCGGAAGGGGGAAAACACAGCTGCCGCCTCATCGCACACTGCCCGTACGGTTGTCTCCGACGCTCTCAGTGCTGTCAGCCCACCAAGCAATTTCGCGTAAGGTCTATTCAACCTCAACATCCGACATAGGGCCTGAGTTTGTCTCTACGTCACCGCACGAAAGAAGCAACAAAACTTAAAATCATTCGAAGCACGGTTATGGCCATGCAAGCTTAAGAAGCCAAGCATTATTTGGCTGGAAACGGTGACAGGATTTCGTTTTGCTAACCTCCAATACGAAGAGAAAAAGACGCCGACGATACTTAAGACTGCTTACGTGTAGGAATGCTACACGCAGCGCATTCTTACAAGCAGCGCGTCACGTCTTCCTTTCGCACACAGCACTCCGCAGGTGACCTCACGCTCCCCCACTGCGCAGGGGCGGTGAACTTCGCCGGCCTCACGACGGCATCCGTGACACAGCATCTGCGGTGCTGTGCTTTTATTTGTCTTGCGGGGACAACGCCGACGGCTTTTCGCGTAATGGGACAAGTAAGGCGTTTGCCTTAAAAACTTCAAGCACTTCAAAGCTGGAAAGCTTCCATGTCCTCTGGCGAGAAGCGCGTCTAAGTCGGCTCTTATACGATGGACGGATGATAACGGCTGCACCCTTTATAACAGGCGGTAGCTTGCTCCACCTAGCTTAAAAACAATGACAAAACCTGATTTCCCCTTTCAAGCCAATGCGTTTCTTAACTATCACCAGGTCATGATGATGACCGCCTGGCAGACCTTTGAGGGATCGGGCAAAGAAACAAAAAACAATCACCCCCGCCTCCTCCCCCGGCGAGAGAATCGCCAATTTTCCTCTGGTCGAACCTCGTCTGTGGCACCTAACACCCGACCCGCGGGGGGACAGGTTTGAGACCTTGGCCCGGAGCCATGCGGGCCAAAACAGCATCGCAGTTCCAGCCGGAGCCTTTCCTTCTGTTTTTTCCCATTCCCCTGTGGTCATTTCCTCTTCTTCACTGTAGTCTTCCTCTTGTGTTTTGTAGACGCTCCCCTAAGGCCTGATCCGGTTCTAACACCAAAAATACTGCTTCGATTGTACGTCTAATTTATGATGCTTCTCTTCCCCTTCTAGCTTTGTAAAAGGGGAAGAGAAACATCATACCAGCAGTCACTCACCACCTACCTGTGTGGTTAGTGACTGCTGGTATTCCCAGGTCTTTTTTCCCTGTGCACTGATGTCTTCCCAAAACCTCTTTGCCGCATTCCTATCATTCTGGTTTATCCATATCATTCACTGGACTCCTGCCCTCCCAATTTTGGCCTGTATTAATGCTGATGCCTCCCGCTTTCGTTCCTGAAAGTCCTCCCATTTTGCTGTCACTTCGGCTGGTGTGGCCCCCTTATTTTTTGCCCATCTGTGTTCTCTAGATGCCGCTTGGCGTCTCGATATTGCTGCCTTAACCTCGTTTTCCCACCAGCTTTTGAGCTTGAGTTTTAGTTTTCTTCCTCCTTGTTTGATTCGATATTTCTGTCTCTGTTAAAAACACAAAGTCTTCATTTCTTTATTCTCTTTCCTGTTGCATGGATACTATGCTCTCGATTCGCTTAGATACCTCCTGTAATTGTTTATCATTTAAGTTATTTCTAACCCTCTTGTTTTTTATATTGCATTTCTGGTTTTACTGTGCCAAATTTGATCTTGATTCTCTTATGGTCGCTCCCCAGACGTTTTGTGCCTTCTCATCTATTTCCATACCTCCTAATCTGTTGTATAGCTTCCGCGACATTAAACAGCAGTCAACAGTCGAGTCCAAATTCTTTCTCTCACAATTTATTTTTCCATTACATTTTACCTGAGCGGTAAACAATTCCAAATCAAGAGCTTCGCAGAACTCCTCTAACATCCTTCCTGATGTATCCGCATGTCCATCAAAGTCTTCCAGATGCGCATTAATGTCCCCCAAGATATTCACTATAGTGTCCATTTTCCTAACGTCTCCAGATATACATGCTAAGCGTTCTACGTTTTACTCCACTGCATTACTCCCTCTTTCTAGATACACAAAACCCAGGATTGTGTCCAAACTCCCCATAGGGGCTGCACGGTGCCGTAGATGCTGTTGTTGATCAAGCGAGTTTTTCGATGGAGGGGCAGATCAAGTCCGTGGAAGACCCCGAAGAAGGGGCAGGGCACACGTGTCGATTAACAGCACGCTGACTTGAATTACCTTAGACATCTAAAATTCTTCCGACTAAAACAGAGGATATAATAAACAATTGAATGGATCTTGAACCCCAAGCGTAAGAATCGATACTTCCATGAAATAACTCTTAACAAGCGTGAAAACCAGACAAGCTATTATACATTTTTCGAGGACTTGCCACGCATAACAAGCCCGTGAAGATGAGTTACAATTTGCCCATAAGCTTAGCAAGCCTTATTGCCTAAAGCTTTTAAATTTAAAACGATCACAATACTATATCATACCGAGGAGCTTCTGAGTTTTTATGTCGGTTTTTGCTTCTGTAATTGTTAATAATGTTCCTTTTTTTGAACTAGTGAGGGGTTTAATAAATTGTTTGCTGGTGTCTTTGAGTTAATGGCGAGGTTTATGAATCACGTCATTTCCGAAAATTGAAAACTGCAGGATGTCGCAATTTCGATATTCGCCTTATCTCGAATTAAGTACAAATTCAAATTCCAGGGTGCCGGAACAGCAACAGTGCTGGCGATCGCCTTCGAATCCTGGCTCATGTGCAATAAGTTTCTCATGGACGTTCGGCCTCAACGGATTCCGGTTACACTTGACAACTGCCCAGGAAACCACACTACATTCCTAACAGGAACAAGCAACGAAACTTTCGTTTCAACACCAAATGTGTAAGAGCCGCGATGAACACATGCATACAAATCTGGGCAATTAAAAGCTGTGTGGTGTCACGAAGTGATTTGCTGTAAAAATTCACGCGGAATAAATTAACCTAAATTCTTATATTCAAATATCTTGAGGTGCAAGATCACCAAGAAAATTGAGAGAGTGAAGGTGCTAACAGAAGCTAAATGAATACCAAAATATGACTGATCAGGCCAATTGACTTGACAAACAACCTCCTTCAGGCTATGATTTTCGGCGTGTTTTCAAGTTCTAGTTTTTAATATGTTTTTGTGTTGTATATCTTGTAACCCACATCTTTATTTTACCACGCTAGTTATAGGAACTAACAAGCAATAAGCAATAACCTCACTTTTGTTACCAGAGCTAAAAACTAGTGTTACTGCGATGTTCAAGACGTAGTCGTAAATTTGCATCAATAACGGCTTAAACATTTATATCACTTGCATCAAATAACTGCAATATTACTATTTCCTCACGTCGAACTAAGTGTAAACTACTATTTTATTATCGCATTTATTACAGAGTTAATGTTCCACAGAAATGTTTACAGTTTGGATCCACTTTACTAATGTACTTTTTCAATTTTTATGGCAATTTTTCTACCATAACAACGCACCAATGAGCCAAACTCTAAAACAAATATTTAATTTTGTTTCAATTGTACATGATGAAGGGGCATCTTAACTCTATTAGGGGAATAACAATTTATGAATATGCCCTACAGTCCGCAGGATCTCTTCATACTTTTGAAGTTGTCATCCTACTGGAGTAACTCAATCAGCACAATTCTCACAATTCTACTGGGACTGGCAATGAGTGCCTTAACAGGTATGATATTCCTACAAGTGTACTAAGGCGATGCGTGTGCGTTTTAATTCATACATTTGAGAATCAAAACATACACCATAATTTAGAAAAATTAAGTATGTTTATTTGCAATTAAATGTGTCCTATCAGCTGTAAAATATGTTTAGAGGAGCCAAAACATTACTCTGTTGCGTCATTTTGTCTGGTCTTTTTTTTTTACTATACCTAAAGTGAAAAGTAATAAATATAATCTAGGCATAACGTCACCAGTGCTTAAATTACATTCGGAAGACGTCGCTGAATGGCGCTGTGCTGCTGCGTATCAAACTGCATCGATAATTAAATAAATCATTCAAAATTGTCGCACTTTAATAACTAATTAGCTTTGTGTTAACACCATTGGTTTAAGTAACAATTAAATGTAGTTATTTTAGAAATAAAGCGAGACTGATCCAAATACTGTGTGTTAAAGTACTGTGTTATATATATCTAATGTGTTTTGACAGCTGCCGTCAGATTTTATTGTCTTGATCTTATATTTCTGATGTTTGCGGTTTTTTTTTTATTAATTTGATAAGGTGGTCTAAAAAATTCCTCAAAGATGGAGCACTTGACTAGTGATGTTTTCCTACGCCTCTGGAGATGGATGAAATTAATCTCACCTGCAGATGTTGCAGTGGTATGTGGTAATGGCTTCTTCATTAAATCAATTCTTCCCGCGGTATTGTCACCTATCGGGAGACAAAAATGAGACCTAATGAAGCATTGATTCGTTTATGTAATGAAACAAACGCAGTACAATTCATGACAGTGTATTAATCATTGTGATACACCATCTTAACTATGCTATTCACCCATATACGGTGCAGGTAAATAAATATGTATTGGTATAAACCGAGCTGTCGTATTTCAGTTAAAATATTATTTCGTGTTGCACACAGTAATACAGATCAAGGAATCGTAGATATGCTAAAACAAGTTCTACATAAATTAAAAATAATTCTAAGAAGGTACTTGATATAAATAAACCATTCCCTCTGGATAATGTTATTGACTGCGGTTGAGTTCAGGTTATGAGGATACTTAGAAAATAATTACCTCAAATCCACGAATAAACTTTTGAACCAGCAGAGGTTTTCTACCTGTTGTTAAAGTATCCCAAGTTTGTTTTTATTATTGCGGGAAGCTCACGCCAGCAAAACAAAAAAGAAATGCTCAAAGTGCTGTGTTTCTTAGAGTGCCTGCTGGACTCGCAAGCATTAAAAGGCGTGTCGTCACCACACTGTAGAGCGCAAGAAAATTTAAATCTTGATTATGGCATAACCTTCATTTGCCCTTTTTTAAAGGCTATTTTGAATTTATAGATAATAAATATCATACCGAGAATTCCAAAAGTGTGTTTAGTTTGGGTAGCTGAACTATCCGCTGGAGCCAATTGAATGCGACAGTTGTCCCCATTTTTATTTCAGCAAGTTTCATCAAATCGTCACCTGCGCGAGAAGGCGTCGGCGGACTTCAACCCTGAAGAAACGTGGGAGCTGACAAGAGAAACAAAAGTTTAAATAAAACCGGACGATTGGTCTAAATATCTGTACGAAATACTGCCATAAAATCACACGCGAATTTCATCAAACGTTATGGCAGCGTATATGGATTTGCGCCGGAGAATGACCTTAGTAGAGCCAAACGCCTGTATAACACCAGAGCGCACGACACTAGAGCAACGACGAGAGAGAGCGCGACAGGAGAGCGCCACGAAAGCAGAGCGCACAACAGGAGAGCACCACGACAGGAGGGAGCCGCGACATGAGAGCGCGTGTCATTAGAGCGTGAGTAAGAGAGCGCGTGTGCACGCTTTGTGTGTGATTGGTATTAGGGTCCTCAAACACATGCTTTCACAGAGTTTAAATTTTGACACCAAAGGGAGTCTCATTTCGAACGCTTGATGTCATTTAATAGACTGAGCACATCTTTAGGAAGTAAAAAAAAATACAATTGTCGCAAACTTCAAATGAAGAAGCAATATAGGGAGTTTCGGAGATATACTTGTTTATTGATTATCGTTAAATATTTTTAAAAAAATCATTCAAAAACTGAATGACTGTGAAACACCTCGGAGGTAGTCTAGCATGCACCTTTGGTCGTACACTTCAAATAGCTTCCTCAGATTTTTCGCTACACGAACGTAAGTGGCCTTGCTGCTTCTTTTAGGCTTTTCACGAAAAACATGGGCCAGCTTCTGCTCTGTCAAGCTCGGTTCTTTTTGGAAGGCGGCCGTTAGCTTGTACGCGTCCGGATAATGCAGCCCAATAGACATCTGGAACGCAATGCGCCAGTACTCGACGTGATTATTGGTACTCGGCAGCACTTCGGAGATTCGTTCGTAGCAGCTCCAGAAGTCATGCGAGAAAAGTTGTGGCATCCGCGAGCGACTCCTTTTGATGCTGACACCCACGTTTACCCTCTTGAAGTACTGGAACATTTGATTGAGCGGAGCTCTTCGAGTCCTGGACAAAAACAAACGCAAAATGCGATTAATCGCAAAAGCACGAAAGAACCAAGCGCGACGGAAATCAATCTCGCACGAACTTTATCTAAGGTTCGCTTAATAAAATAAGTAATCGAAAATTCCTTTACCTTGCGCAATGTCTCCAGGTCGAACAAACGCCAGTGCTGGTACCATGCTTACTCTTCTGCAGAAGTCCCCGTCTTCATAATATCTGTGTAAAAGATTAAAGAGTTCAGAGCTCCTAACGTGTTTTGACTTCTATACCTGACGGTGAGGTTCTCCGCCTGCATCCGGCGAACAAACGACAGTTTTAAAGGCTCTGTTATACTCCGACGTAACGCGCGCGCAAACGAACGCTGGTCGAAGTCGGCTACGTCACGTCAGTCACGCCGCGTGCGTCAAAAATTCGCCCACTTTATACTCCGGCAGCCCCCGCGGCCCCCGCGGCGCGCATCGGTGGGCCGCCGGCGCGGCGCATGCGCAGAATCTGACTACGAGGGCACGTTTCCTGCGAGAGAGCACCACTATGGTGCCTGGAGCGCGTCTTCGACTGGTGTGTTTAGCGTACTATCCCGCCCATACATCAAACGTGGTCCCGATGTGGCAACAAATGACGCGAGTGTCATGCTGTTGCCTGTCGCGATCCTGGCGGTTGGCCGTAGAAATGCTGGCGAAAAGCACGAGCGAACGCGAGTGTCGCTGTCGTCACGGCGTCCCGTTAGGCGTCCCAACTTCCGGCTGCACTAACTTCCGTGAACTGTCACAGTGGAAAGCGACCTGCAGCAGAACAGGCATCTGCCACATTCACCACAACTGTTGGGACACCACCAGGGTCGCGACCGGCGACAGCATGACACTTTTATGACGTCATCAGGCGGAAATCGAGGGACCACTTTTTTGGCCGCGGTAAACACACCAGTCAAAGACGCGATCCAGGCACCATAGCACCACTTCCGGTTCCTTTTCGTTTCGAATAGCAGACGAAAATTCTTGGCGCTTCTTGAGCGCCAAGTTCGGGCGATGGCGTGGACGTACCTTGCACGACGAAAACTGGCGATTGCACTGTTAATGCACCTGCGCCGCAAGCGTAGGCGGTCAATGTACATACGGTACATCTTTGACAAGCGCACGGTCTACGGTGCTCAAGGTTCCTCGTGTCGTAGACACACAGGTGAGGACGAATTCCCTCGATCAGCTTCTCGACGACCGAGTCCGATTCTTCAAACACGACTCCAGACGGAGCGGTGCTCCCGTCGTCTGCTATTGTTCGTATTCGCCGCGCTTCCCGCGCGAGGGCTGCCGGGAGCCAGCGCGTGATGCATCCTGGTCCGGCGTCGCTGGCGCGGCCGGCGCGGAATACGGCATGCTCCATTTTGGCGTCGAGGCGGTCAGGCTGCGTCGAACGCCGCCGCTCGCGTCGGTTACGCCACGACGCCGGAGTATAGAGCGTCGGGTTTTCGCCGACGTGACGTCGCTGTGACGCGCTCGCACGCGCGCACGCGTTACCTCGGAGTATAACAGAGCCTTAAGTGAAAGAAGCGCCCCTTCACTCTGACTGTCGGGAACACCAACTGAAAAGCTCGCTCGCCTCCACTTCAAAATCCATCATCAACGTCTGAGGTGCCAGTCGGTGGACACGATCCTCGGGTGCCCTGTAAATGGGACCAGAGGCTTTCTGGCCCCATTTGGTGATGACGCAGTAGACTAGAGGCAACACCTTGCCATGAACTAGTCCGTAGATCGCATACACTCAGGGATGGGCAAAATACATGCAAATATGTATCGAAATACAAATACAAAATACTTCGTCAAAAATGTATTTAATTACAAATCTAATTACATTTTCAAAAAAGCATTTAAGTACAAGATACAAATACAACCAAATGTATTTGGTCTCCTCCAAATACTTTTCCAAATACATTCCTCAAAATTTGCGTCAGCGACTTCAGGGCACCTGCAACGGGTTTCTGGGTATCTCATTTTAATTTTGCATCGCACACTCGGGAGTTAGTGTGCGAGGCTCTAGAAACGTAATAGAAATATAATCACAAAAAACATTATGTAGTCAGCTTGGACGTGACAGGTGAAAAAAGTACAGAGCTTCAAGCAGCTTTTTTTGTCGATTACATTTTGGTATAGACCAACAAAGAACCGAGACGACCAAGACGCGCAGCACTAGCTAGAGAATTTCTTTATTGTTGCAACTCGCACCAGTTACGAAAATCTGGACGACCCGCGCATTTAGAATGTTCCAGGCAAAAATATGGATGGAAATCAGGCTGGAAAGTATCACAAGTTGTCACAGGCCCTTATTTAGCCAGGCTGCCTGTGAACGTCGATTTCGACACTATTCTTGCCCTGGACTAGCACCGTAATCACAAAGTCACTAAACGCTTGTGCTTGATTGAGAGACACTGCATTCGTGCAGAACGTAGTTTTCTTCCTGCTCTGGACAGTGACAATAAATTTGAGGGATGTATTTTCGCCCACAAAATTGTATTTAATTACAATTGTACTTGAAATACCCACGTTTAAGTATTTAAATACACACGTCAAATACATTACCCAATTTGTAATTGAATACAAATGCAAAATACACAAAGTATTTGAAATACGTATTTAAAATACTTGTATTTGAAATACTGCCCATCCCTGGCATACACCTACAAAATAAGAACGTACTATATCTTAAGCGACATGATGAGATGAGAGTACTACGCTGAAGCTAAATAAAAACCTTTAAAAATGTGTAAAACCGCCAGATATGACACATGTAAATGTATAGCAGCATAGGCGCGCGTCGCACCTGATCGAAGAGCGACGACGTGACGTCAAAAGTGCCATCGGCGAACCAGTCAGTATACTGGCAGAGGAGTCAAAGGTTCTCGTCGGTCACAAACATGAAGAGACGATCTTTGTCTCGGGCACCGGAGTAATATAGCAACAAAAAATCGCCCGTCTGGAAATGATTCAAGCCAGCTGAGGAGGTTGGTTTCCTGAATGTGCTGTGGAGCTGGCAGCGGCATGTGGAAGGCGCGGCGTGCCCTCTGTGCTGAACGAATCAAGGCGCTTACCGAGGCAAGCTGCAGCCGCTAAGAACCTAAAGTCAAAATCGACAATTACATGCAGTTAAAAAACAAAGCAATTTGAGTTTGTTGGAGAGAGAGGGAAAGAGAGAGAGATTTAAAATATATTTTATCCCATTTAGTCCAGGTCGTCGTCTCTAAATTCACAGCGTTTCTTGTGACGAGCAAATGACCGCGACTCTCTAAAGCACATCCGAAGAATCGTGATGTTTATTTAGGATTCTGGTGGAGGTATCTCTACTTACTTGTTAGTTCGCTTGCAGGTCCCGTTATCATCATTCTCGGTTGATAATCGGTTGTCCTGGCTTTCTCCTTGACGGCAGCAATCACCTGCTCTGCCCGACAGACATTGGAATTTGACAGGTGACCCTGCTGCTTGCCAGTGGTCACCGAAAATGTACAGATATAATATAAGTATGTTATATTCATAAAAAAATTGGCACACTGAAGGCGACTCGGTGCGAGCGGGAGTACAATAAGCTATATACGTAGTAGCTCAATTGTATATTCGAGTTGTGAAAAGTGCAAAATTCCTGACGCAGAAGGTAATTTGTAAGGTACAATAACTGTTTGCTTACCTTGACGACGGTCAGTGCAATGTCGCATCCGGCGGTTGTGGCTGGATCCTCGAAGTCTTTCTTAAAGCTCTTCCATGTCCTCTGTGAGGTGTCCTTGTTCAGTCTATCCAGACGATAGGCATAACCGTTGTGTTGCAAAATCAGATGATTTTTTTCTTGGACTTCGAGACTCAAAGCATTTCAAAGGCCTGAAGAGCGCTCCGGTGGAAGATCCGACTTCGTCGTCATCAACGCCCGCAGTGCCCAATTGAGCTTCTATGCTCACCTTCACTACACGATTGACGGTTGACCCAAACTTAGATTTCTTTATTAGGGGGCTTAAAGAGACAAATACCAAAGAAGTTCAGATTGCAGGCTTTTCAACCAATAACGACCTGTGTTCTTGGTGGATAT